ATCAACATTAATACATTATGCTAATTTTCATCTTTTTAAGCGCATAAGACAGTGCAAATTATTTCTGTGACAGTCTTTTGAAGTGTGTAAAGCTCCGTTTTATCCCATACATAGTCAAAATATTGGGGGGATGATTCAATGGACCATCCCCCCCTTGTCAAATATTGGGGGGATATATCCCCTCCATCCCCCCCGGGATCTACGCCTATGTTTGAAGCACGAAATGGAATTGAAACTGAAATTGAAATTAATGACAGTTCGTTTAATTACTGACCAATGGACATAAAAATTCCATTTTTATGCTTTCGTTAATTGACGAAGAACATTTAGATTCTAATTTACTAAGCTAACTTAATATTGACAAGGTGTTAACTTGGCAATGGTATATGTTTATCTCTACACATAACTCCGGCACATATAGTCGATGTAATGCTAATGTATGACTTGCAATTTATGACAAGCGAAATGTCTAACCTAAAGTACTGCAAGGCAATTCAACAGAAGGACGCACATCTCGGGGCATCAAAGGTTATAACTCTGGCATCGACATTCTAGGCGCACGTGCGTCCCTAAACGCTGAACGTCACAATAATTGACGGCTGTACTCGTAACTAGTATGGATTGTCGATGCCACAGTAAAGATCAAAGGACTGTACGCACGAGAGCGGAGATGTGCGTCCTTCTGTTGAATTACCTTGAGTACTGTAATCATTTTTAGAACCACTCAAAGAAGGGGGTTATTCTATTTATTACCTATTTATAGCTTGCACATTTTATAAACATCTCCAAGCTATTTTTCCGTAAAGATGTTAGTGCGCATGGCCCATGGATTACATTTTTGTATATGCTTTATTGAATTTTACTGTACCGTTCAATTTGTTTTACTTTTTTCTCGCTGATTGTACAACAGTATATTATCTTTTGAAAATAAGTTTTATTCAATACGAAGATATGCCTGGTCTGTGCAAATTAATGAAATGCTGAAATTTCCATGAAGTAGGCCTATAATTATTCTTTTGAAAGGGCTGTTTGAAAAATATAAAAAATGTTGCAAATAGAAATATGGAGAAAATAATATATAGAAAATATATATATTTTCTTCATGTTAATACTAAGCACTTAAATTACATTTTTTAACCGATTTCTTTGTAGGATTCAATATAAATATCGAGTAAGATGTCAAAATGACTATTACGGCACGTCGTGTTCTAAGTATTGCGTCGACACCGACGACAGTGAAGATGGTCATTACACCTGTGATCCAGGTACCGGAGACAAGATATGCAACCCTGGATGGATAGGTGAATCATGTGACCATGACATTAACGAATGTCAAAGCACACCTTGCGTGAATGGAGGCACTTGTCAACACGGTGTCGATTCGTATGTGTGTATTTGCCCACCTGCCTGGGGTGGATCTCTCTGTCATTTACTACAAGATGAATGCATAAACTTCCCATGCGCAAACAATGCCACATGTGAATCGGACGTACTTAGCGATGGTACTTCCAATTACACATGTACTTGCGAACCTGGATGGGAAGGGATGAACTGCACTGATGAAATTTATGAGTGCGAATCATCTCCTTGTTTGAACGATGGTGTATGCCAGGATCTTCTGAACGGATGGAATTGTCTTTGTAAAGAAGGCTGGGAAGGAGGCGCGTGTGAGGAAAGAGTAACGTTAACAACAACATTGGAAGAAACAACTATGATCAAAATACATTCAACATTATCGCGTTCGAATCCAGAAGAGCAACAGCAATCTGGATCGGTAAGAGACGCAGAATCAAGGAGGGATAATGATTTTCATGCTAGAATGTTCTAGTTGGCTTCAGGTTTCGTTCCTGGTTCCCAGCTAGATAGGCGCCCGGACTTTTGTTACGGGCAGCGGTGACAAGGTGGTCCAACATGTCCCATGGAGGGGTCCGAACTAAGGGGCCGACTGGAGACTCGGTCGGGGTCCCAGACTAAAAACTACCTGTTAGGGTTAGACATAGACATAGACATCACTTTATTAATCCAAATCCTTGGAAGGGTGAATGTTTTACGGCTTACTATGGTCCAAATTATGCTTTTTAGACCACAATACTAGGGATTGAAAATCAAAATAACGTTATTTGGATAGGCACATTATTATTGTTTAAATTTCTGATCCGACGACCTCGTCGTGACTGTCGGAAGACAATAATAACCCCAGGTCGTTAGTGAACGGTTTAACAGTCTTGCCAAGTGAAGGCTAAATACGTGAAATTACCCCAGGCCTGTCGGATGGGGTGGGGTTCCACCGTTGGCGCCACCACTGGTTACGGGGCTATATTGTACATTTTAACTAAAGAAATGTCTGAATAATTTCCAGTATCAAATGTAGTTAATATTTGACTACGCCGCACAACCTAATAATAACCCGAGGTCGTTAGTGAACGGTTTAACAGTCTTGCCAAGGGAAGGCTAAATACGTGAAATTACATTTGTACAATGTATGAGGGCGTCTAAAGGCCAACTCAGACAGCGTCAGTCGACGCAGCCCGACCCGATTTGTCGTCGGGGACAGTCTTAAGCCGTCGTGAGAAATATTAAACACGTTTAATATTCTACTACGCGACTGCCCCCGACGCACACCATCGCGTCTGCGTTCAACTCACACAGACCCGACGCGACAACAAATCGCGTCGGGCTGCGTCGGCCGACGCTGTCTGAGTTGGCCTTTAGTCTACTAGGCCTAATATTCCTTTAACTATTTTTTAATTGCAGGATGGTATATCCGATCCGGTAATTTACTCCATATTAGTAATTGGACTTCTGCTTATTATTTTCATTTTACTGTTAATCTTGGTAAGGTAAGTAAGCAGAAAAACATACCGTAAAACGAGTTTTATGTTCTCTTTACTTCACTTTATCCAACATTCATACCAGTTTATTTAGCTACTTATATGACTTTAATCGTGTTTTTCTTGTTTCAGAAAAAGAATGAATCGAAAGATGGATGAAGGGGATGCCATGGAAATTCCAGTTGATAGCCAGCCATCAGTAGTCGCGATTTCTCAAGTCCATCTTGATCAAGCGGCTGGTGGCGGAATTTATGAATCTTCTCTGCCAGCAAAGAAAATTCCGTTTGAGGAGGACGAAATTGGATCTTTTCAAAATCCTGTGTATATGTTGACTTTTGAAGACTTAATGGCAAAAAATGCACAAGAAGAGAATGTTTATGAAGAATGTAAAGACTCCGATAAAGACAACACTGTCGAGGAAAACCCCTATGTAGATATGACTTCGGTTGCAGCGTCAACAACTGTCGACCCAGTACCGAGTGCTGTACCAAATTTATATTTCGTTGATTAAATTAATCCATGGGGCGACAATGAGTTCCTGATAGAACATGCCACCTTGAGTTATCGGCAAGCTATATTGTTATATCTGTTAGCCCTTATGGGCCTGCCTTAACAGCACTTTGCACATTGCACGCACTTGCCAACATCGGATGGTATTGTATTCTGACGCATTACCGCCTGCCATTGCCTTACCTTGCCCAAGTGAAGTAAATAAGACAATATTATTTTTCTATGGCATATAATCATCCATCAATTACTTAAATACAGTTCACCCTCTAATTCAAGACCAATATTGGGACCAAAAGATTTGGTCCCCAATTAGAAAGTCCTAAATAGAGACCATGGCTAAAAGTGGTCAATAAACATACGGAAAATCGGAAGTGGTCACTAAATTGAAACTGTATTCTTTTGGCTTGTGCTTATTTTTATCCCTCTGGTTTTTAAATACCGTATTTATTCGAATAAACGGCCGGAGCGTTTATTGTTGACAATGGTTTTTGAGGGGGAGGGGTTTATTCGAGGGAGGCGGTTTTTTTTTTCTTTGGTGTAAAATGGATATGTATATACTCAAATAAATGCTCCTTAATTTCACTGTAAATGTAGAACTACAACACATATTTACCACCAAAGGTGTTTGCGTGTACAAAGACGTATTGATACAAACCAGGTTAGAATACATGTAATTCTATACTGGAGTAGAACCTTAATAGAATATGTTGAGATTGAGAATGATGTTTCTTCCATTTATTTTGGTTACAGTCATTTAGGGGATATGGGGGCGTTTATTCAAGGAAAAATAAACGTTTATTCGAGAGAGGCGTTTTAAAAATGATGCTATGGTTATATGTTACTCATTCAAATAAATACGGAAACTGAATTATTTTAAATTATACACATTTGATTGATTGTTAGAGTATACATGTACATGTATACAATTTATGTATGGGTTAACCCATACATAAATTCCAAGGATTACGTATTATTACAAAGGCCTAAGAAAGACTAATGCTGGCTAGCAGGCCTATGCCGGGAATACTTCTGATTATTTTTAAGACATCACCAAAAAATTAAGCGGAACATGTGCTGCAAGGAAGGAACAAGCTCAAATTTTGAGAAGTCCAAATAAGGTCTCAGAACGATTAGAGGGGTCTCGAATTAGAGGGTAGAGTGAACTAAATGTGCTCAGTGGGCGCAAGGGCGCACGTCCCCTCCAAAACACCCCCTCCCATTGAAGATGTTCAAAGTAAAAGAAATCACGCTCAAGTAGATAAAAATCACCTATCACCTAGTGCTCCCTCGCTTAATCATCAACCCTTCCCCCACTTTTCTTTCTCCCCACCCCCTTATTTCACTGTGGTTGTTAGTTTGTTTTCATATGTTTAATTTTTAACCTTCCGTGGCTTCTACAGTAGTCAACTCCTTAGGGGCGAATTCCAATTAAAATCAACCAACCACAATGTAAATATTAAAGGTATGCACCATGCATGCAAAACAAGAAAAACATCAAAAATTTAAATAACAATTTGAAATGCTCATTTAAATGAACAAATATATTATCGTTTTATAAGCCAAAGATTATAGTCACTGTCCAACGGACGCTTTACTATAAAAATTCGTATTTTGCTGCCCTAAAGGCACGGCATGCAAAGACTACAGAAATGGTAAATTTATCATTTAATCATCCGTTAGAGTAGGCCTATATTGAAAGTCACTGGTATACTCATAAGCAGCTATAGTACAGATATCCCTACCTACATTACTATTACGGTATCACGTACCATGCTAACTCTATGATATTACCGTATTCGCGTTAACTTTGGCTATTTCGCATTAGATCAAAATTTAAATGTTTCGTTTTTTGTTAATAAGTTGCACTGTGAGCAATAATAATAATACTTGTTTTGCTTCATTTCTGTAATGTGACATTCCACAATTTTCCCGATTTAATTTGTCTCGAATGCGTGTTAAAATTATGAATTTTCATCCTATTCTCGATCTTGTGATTGCTTCGGTCGTATGCACTAAGACGTTACAATTTAACTGCACTGTCAAATACAGAGTAGGTGGCACATTTTTGACTAACGACATACAGTATTTTATTCCATCAGCTTTCACCCCACTGAACGGGGTTTCATCAGGTGACTCACCTAATGAAGCCCCGATTAACTGGGGCGAAAGTTTGTGAAATAGAATACATCGTTAGTTAAAAAGTGCTGCCTACTCATTTTTTTTTTCATTTGTATACACTATAATACGGCTACTGAACAACTTTCTTGTAATATACCGGTAATTATATCGGTGAAATTCTTACACTATCAGCCTCATGAGTCACCTTGTTTAGTATATAAATTGTATAAATCATTGGGTCATTACTTATAACATGTAAATACATATTTTTCGTTTAGTATGCTGGGAATTCTAAACATAAGATTAAATGTTGTTGTTTATAAAAATATTGTTAAAAAACTTGTGAAACTAAATTATATTCTATAAGTTCCATAATACATTGTTTTAATTGCCAATTCAATGTAATTCCATTCAATTCAATTGATATTCAATTGAAAATGTCGCATAAAATTGTGATTTGTTTCTCTTTGGTATTTATGCAACTTTTTTTTTACTCTATAGATCTATCAATTAATCTATTTTTGTAGTTAAGTGAAAAAATATATTCATGATAAATAGCATTTGAATCATTGTCTTTTATGTTGTAAATTATTTTTAACATTTATTAATGAAAATCTCATTCATACCTACACAATTTCATTTCATTTCATTAATTTTGTCTCAATAAAATACATAAAAAACAACAACCGGTTACAATACAACAAAATAAAAGAATAAAAAAATCTGAAACAGGCCGAGACAGGATTCCTAAAAGTGAACCAAATCACTATCATGTCGGTCTCCTAATGCACTATTCCGATTACACATAAAATAATAATAAAATGAACAATTGAAATAATACTTAAAATATGTAAAATTTGCCTTAACAATAAATATATATATAGAAATTATAAAACTTATTTAAAATATAATTTAAGATCGTTTAAGAATGCTTTAAGATTCAAAACCAATACGATTAAAAAAAACAAGAAAGGCATATTATTGACTTTGGCACTTTTGTTAATACTACCGGTATGTAAATCCTTATTAAACAAAAGAAACATACCGGTACCAATATAAATTTAATTATAAAACAAATAATTATCTTTAAAATTCAAAGTAACATCTGTGTATCGACAACTGCCATTACAATTTATTAGCACAAGTTAACAAGAAGAGAGACTGTGATATAGGCCCTACTCAATTCAATTCAATTTCTGGTCTGCCTAATTTTCTGGTTTTTGAGATTCGCTTAGGCAGTTCAAAGTCCATCTAAAAACACCTATTTCAATAGTTTCCTCTCACCTTTCTTAAGATCTTATTTGTTTATTGTTTTGTTCGTTTCTTACTTTCTTTCGAACCTTTTTGCTTCGAGTTACTGCCTTAGTGCATTTTACCATAAGTTTGCACACTTTCCTTGGGTTTGGTTCTGCAAGCTTTACTCATGAGGATTTTGTTTACTTTTATCGAGTGGATACATCGCTTTGAATGTCAGTTTCTTCAGTCAGGCGTATTTACGTAGGCTTAATGCCACTACAAATATACTTTTTCGAAAACCTTATTCTAAAGCAATTGGAATATTTTGTCTGCACGGAAGTCTTTTTAAAAGTTGTTCAACAAACTACACCCCCACCTTCCCGGTTAAAGCCATCTATTGCTACCTGCGTTCGTACTTACTCGTTCAGGATATAAGAGAACTTAAATATAGAAAATCATTTAAATCATTCAATTGGTTGTTGCCGCCAAATTGATATAGACTAGATGATCTATCATGTATTTGGGCTTTGGGACCCGATTAAAATTGTAATAAGCCTACCCTTTCGATGGTTACATGTTGAGAATACGTACTGGCATATTGTAATACACACTCTCTTGATGTACAGCATGAGATGTTTCATTAACATAACATAAACTATCGCCAACGAATTGGGTGGGCAGTGGCAGATCCAGGAATTTGAAACAGAGGGGTCCAAAGAGGGACTTTCACAGATGGAGGGTTGATCCTACCTCAGCCCCACATGCTTGGGTCTGAGGTAAGAACAATTTTGATTATGGCATCTCCAGATGGCCAGAAATGACATTCTTAGACTTAAATTTGAATATAAGTTTCTTTTTTTCTCATGTTTTTTTAATTTTGAAAAATTTAGGGGGGGGGGGGGGAAAGCCGGCTGCCCCACCCCCTCTTCTTGAATATCCGCCTATGGTGGGTATTCAAACTTTTACGACATGGTGAACCTATTTCGTTTAAAATGTTAAAGTGATTATATGAGTCAATAAAACAATTCGCGGAAGAAGAGTTTTCAAAATATTGGTAATATTAATATGGGACTAATCAGATGGCTGACGCCGTTCTCCATCGACAATTGATTTTATGTGCATTATTTATCTACAATTCGTATATATAAACACTAAAGAATATTTACACTCACAATTTCATCTGAGAAAAAATTACCAAAAAACGACGGAGTGACAGTGTTTCACAGCTGTGGAAAAATCAAAATTATCAGCCTGTTGCTCTCTGTTTAAATAGTGATCGTATCTGATCAACAATGATGCAGCAACAGGCTTGGTCAACTTGTAAGCATTCAGAGCCTTCTGTTGTTTGCCCATAGATCAAATTTGGGAGTGGTATACAATACGATTTCGAAACATTGTTATCGTAATGAAACAGCTATAATATTGAAAACAAACAACTTGAAACAAAATCGGTGTACGAATTCAAATAAATATTTACAATAGATTTTAATGGTCCACTTGTTATCAAATTTTACGACCAATTATTACATGCATTTGTGTGTGAGTGTGTAAAAGACAAACAATGAAAAATTACTCGCTTTTCCCCTGGCGCCCCACTTCCCCCTCCTCCAAATCACGGTCAAGTTGTTATAAAAATCACCTAAAATCACCTTATATTTGGCAAGTTAGCGCACCTCAACTGATCATCGAGTCCCCTACTTACCTTCGCGCCCCACCCCCTGTCTCTTATACACATCTAGATGTGTATAAGAGACAGAAGTTAGACTCCTGATACGCCACTGGCCCTACACACACAATCTACCTCCGCCCCTCAGAGCGAACGAGTTTCTGATCTCGAAAATCCAGACACTTCGTTAGGCCTATACCGCGTACAGTAGGCCTACAAAATACTGTACAGATATAATTCAATGAAAAAGTTTTAAAAATTTTTAAATGAAGTTGTAGGTAGGCCTATATACTAATATTTTGCGAATCTTGAGATTTTAAAAGCAATCTTGGGATTTTTTAGACTCAATCTTGGGAATTTTGAATTCTCGCCATTGGGACATAAAAACAGCGGTGCCCAGGTATTTTACGACGTTGTCTTATAATTATAAATAGATCCATTATAAGTAACGTACACAGCTTGGTAATGGCGAAGTCGTTGTTGTACCATAAAACGAACCCGCTTGCATGACGTTTTCAGTTGACCAAAAATAGTAGGCAACACAGTTAATAATTGAATCACCGAATCAACAATAGTTTGCTTAAATTAAAAGGTTGTTAAAAGTAACGTCCAATGTGGCACTACATAAAACCAATTATAAACATGAAAGTGTACAACGATAAATGCGGTGCAAATGAGGCTAAATTGTCATAGAAGTAAAAAACGCGAAAGAAGAACAACATTAATAATAATAATAATAATAATAATAATAATAATAAATAATAATAATAATAATAATAATAATAATAATAATAATAATAATAATAATAATAATAATATAACATACAAATTCAATAATAAAAAGATTGGGGTAATCACAATAAAAAGCAGTAAACATTTAAATAATTAAAACTTTAAAATACAAACAAAATAAGACTAAACAATTTATGTCATAAAAAGCGCAAAAGAAAAAAAAACACTTAATAATAATAATAATAAATAAAATAATAATAATAAATAATAATAGCAATACTAATAGTAATAATAACAACAACAACAATACAACATACAAATTCAAAGAAAGATTGGGGGAACACAATATAATGTAACAATATAAAACCAGTGAACATTTAAATAATTAAGACCTTATAATACAGATAATATGAGGCTAAACAATTTATGTCATGAAAGTAAAAAGCTGGAAAGAAGAAAAAAATAAATAAGACTTTAAAATAACGAAATAATTCGTCATGGATATGTAATTAAAAAAAAAAAAAAAAAAAACGGTGGCGCCTTGGCATTAATTTGCTTCCTTTGCCGTTTTGGTCTATTCCTATTGCCGTTTTGGTAGTTGACATTGCCGTTTTGGTCTGGCCGTTTTGGTTTATTGTCATTTTGGTCACTGCCGTTTTGGTTTTTTTGCCATTTTGTCCAGAAACCGTTTGGTGGTTTCATTGGCACTTATCACTATAATATAGTAGACCTTTTGCTGTCTGTGCAGACGCCTTTGCCAACTAGGTCATTGAAGTTTTGTTGGTACAGTAATTCAAATCCGGATGAAGCACCTAAATCCTTTCACACTCATATGCATATGCATATTAGGCAGCATTAGTCCTTGGTCAAATAACTAGAGTTCCTATCATAACTCTAAACATAACTCTAACATAGATCAATATGATACGCACTCTTCTTATCAGCAATTTACGACAAGACGAGATCTCAGAAGATGCTTTTATAAAGAAATGATGATAAATAATATATAAATATATTATATAATATATAGAGATAAATTCTAAATTGTCTTCCGGTAATACTGTAAATATATATAAATCCACGTGTGATATATAGGCCTATCAGTCGTTGAAACAAAAAATTATGACATCAAGGCATGTAGACTATTGAACACTGTATTTATTTTCGAAAGAAATTTTCATCAGCTTTATTGTCAGTCTGTATATATAACCCCCTCTTTCAAATCCTGGATCCACCCCTGCTTAAACCGTTAAACATGAAACTTAGGCTACATTACTGCAACATTATTAGTTTATTAATAAATATTTTTAGCAGTAGTTTATTAATATTACAGTTAGATGTGTATAAGAGACAGGTGCTATGTTGAAGGCTATACAAATATACAGTGATAATCATATTCATGCCAAGTTAATATTGTATAATATATTTGAACATAAAATCTTAACAATTTTTTTTCCCAGCTAGACGAAGGAAAGGAAGCACCACACCTCCTATCAAGAATGATGATGTATCAATGTCATGCCAATTTCTGCAGTTCGGCACCCTTGTCTCCATCAGTTTTTAATTCACTGCAACTTTTGTATTTTAATTAGTATTATTATAAAAACTCAAGAGAAGTGTTCTAGCGTTTTTATTTTATTGAACGTACAAACGTTTTTGGGTATCACCCTTCATCAGGTATAGGTATATACATACTTTATTTTTAAAATATTTTCTATCTTTTGTATAGAATATTCATTGTAACACTTATAGATATGTTGTCGATGCCTTTTCCATGTCAATTGCAGTAGTTCACAGCACTTCTCTTCTTGTACATCCTAGTACTGGTATTACTTATTGAGATGTTTATGAAAATAAAAATGTTACAATACAAAGTGGTTGTTTTTTATTCAATTATTGAATGCCGTGAAATTTACATACCGCCATTTTCTTTCATAAAAAAAATAGCAAATAAAAAATTTAAAAAATTCAAATTCCGGACGTGAAACTAATAATAAATTTTAATTGGCCTAAGCCTAGGCAAAATTTCCGTAGCAACTAGTTTTGTAGAACTTTAGGGGGACTCTACATTTATCTATCTATTCATACGAAGCACGGCCGACGACCGTGTATGCTTAGTGCTACGGCGGCACGGCGAGTAGCCAAGACCAAAGGTGGTTTGGGCGTGACATCAGAAGGAGGTAGGCCTAGGCCTAATGAACTATAGCCAGGGATTAAACTAGGCCCTTTGGTACTGTTTGAAAGTGGTCATCATGCCTAGACTAACGGCCCTATGCCTACTAATAGTACTATTTAGGCCAGGCCTAACAAGGGCCTATGCCTAGCTAAAGGCCGCCTAGGCCCTAGGGCCAGCCTACCCTGGCCTAGGCTAGGCCTATTTAGCCTAGGCCTATAGCCTATATAGTGGGCCTATAGGCCTTGTAGTAGGGCAGGCCCTAACTAGGCCTAGAGCCTGTTGTGTGTGCGGGCTAGCTAGGCTAGGACTTGGGTCTATTAGTTAGTGTGGGCTAGCTGAGCAGGAACTGCAATAGCTGCAAGCATTCTGCTTCTGATAGTATGTCTACATACAGAATGGTGTAGGGTAATTTCAGCCCTGAGTCCAGTCGGCTCCTGGTTGTTTCAGCCCGACTCGTTTCATCCCAGTCTCCAGAGCATGTTTCAGCCTTGAGTTGTTCCAATCATTTCGGTTACAGTCTTTTGTTATGCGTATCGGCCTGGCTGTGTATGGAGTGACCAAGAATACTTTAATTAATAGAACATGGTGGCTAAGCAGTATACCCTTAAACCATGTGGTGGATCCAGGGGAACCCCTCCTTCGTGAAGAAACTTAACAAAATACTACTGGGTCCTGGCATACAAAAGTCATGCTAACACACAGACGAACCCCTCCTTCGTGAAGAAACTTAACAAAATACAACTGGGTCCTGGCATACAAAAGTCATGCTAACACACAGACGAACCCCTCCTTCGTGAAGAAACTTAACAAAATACTACTGGGTCCTGGCATACAAAAGTCATGCTAACACACAGACGAACCCCTCCTTCGTGAAGAAACTTAACAAAATACTACTGGGTCCTGGCATACAAAAGTCATGCTAACCTACATAGGCATAATATGTTCGCAGATCAGACAAAGCTTAGCCCAACTAGTCTTCAATTTAATAAATTATACACACTGTTTTTGGTTCGACGTTGTAATAATTTATGTACGAAAGTGCGTTCTTCAGGCCTATCGGATCATGGAACTGTAAAAGAAAATCTAACTATTCAATATTGTTGGAATATAATAATATATTGCCTATTTTTTTGATTTGAGATAACATTTCCTGACCTTTTTCAAGAAGGTGAAAACCTTGAATTTTGAAGAACTTGAAAGTCATTAAAAGACTCCTCAGAAGTCGGCAAAGCTTATTTCCGGCCATCTAGGAATCAAAAGGGGGAGGACCCCCCTTTCGTCTTGGGTTTTTTGGAAACATTTTGAACCCCCTCTTTCAAATCCTGGATCCACTCCTGCTTAAACCGTTAAACATGAAACTTAGGCTACATTACTGCAACATTATTAGTTTATTAATAAATATTTTTAGCAGTAGTTTATTAATATTACAGTTCATTATAGTATATATATTCATAAGACCGCCAAAATCAATCATTGCATAGAAATTAACTAAAGAAATTATTAACTAGAGTATAATTTGAGGAAAGAAACATTCCAACAATTATGTTCCTACGGTACTCTTGATCTTTTGTATGCTGCCCTCAGGAATGTGGGCACACTACTGCCAAGACAGAAGTAGGTCAGATGATAAAATTAGACAACTGGCTATTTTTAGGTGCAAGCACATGCCATAACAGTGAATGTGCATGTGTGTTCACCTTTCGCCTGCTATGGTTCTGATTTTTTTTTTAATTATGAAAGTTTTTTTTTTAAGCTTTAATATTTTATTTATTGTATATAGACATGGTGGATTTTTAACATCTCTGGATCCGCCCCTGATGGATCCATATTTCAGACAATATTTGCAATTTAGATTAGGTTGGTATTTACAGCTAATATTTCTAATACTATAGGAGAGACAACATAATGATGAAATATTGTTTGAAGGTTTGCATGTTAAAGGAATGCTGGCGGTACAACGTAGATCTGAAAAAAATGTTTCATTTTTGTTGTTGTTGATAAATGAAATTATCTATCTAGCTGCAAAAACAACATGCGACTAAAATGATCTGTTACTTCTGACCCGGGTCATTTTGGCCCAAAACAACCTGGTTGAATCAACTCAAGGCCAAAATGACCTGGATTCTACACGATTCTGGCTAGGAATAATACAATTTCAGAAAAAAATGTATATATTCAAAGAACTCCATACATTAATATATTAATTGAAAGCTTTTGTGTATAACTAACCTACAACAATTACAGATGTAGTTCTGAAAGTAGTGGAATGCAATCTTTTAAATCCCCATTCCCGGCAAAATTATTGCCATTATTGGGGCTGTAAAGTACTGTAGTTTGTCACAGTGAGGCACAGGCTAACCAAGGCCTAATTAATAATAGATTTGAATTTGTTAAAATCTAATCCAAAATGTCATTGAAAAATTGTTCGACTAAAATTTGACTTTACAGATTGTTAGTTAATGGAAAACACAACAGTGTAGTGTGTAAAATATGATCGACTTAAAAATTATTTCAGTTAAGCAAAGTTAAAAGTTATGTTCATCCAATGTTCAGTACTTGTTATTGTTATAAAGAAAGCACCTTGATGTTCTTATTTTGCAGACATGAGCGGATATCCACAGCAACCAGGGGGTTACCCACAGCAACCAGGTTACCCACAGCAACCTGGCTATCCACCACAACAACCAAGTGGTTACCCACAGCAACCAGGTGGCTATTCTCAACAACCAGGTGGTTTTCAACAATATCCAGGCAGTTATCCACAGCAGCAAAGTAGCTATCCTCCTGCCCCAGCTGTGTACGTCCCACCACCAGACGCTGCTTATCCTCCACCACAAAATACAGCATACCCTCCACACGCAGGTGTAAGTGTTAAGTGTTCATTATAAACATTTTCAGATATTAGGCTTTAAATTCTAAAGACAAGAGGTAAAAGCAAACAAAGCTGCTGGTGCCTTATCTTATATATTATTATTGGGACTAATCGGGGGACAAGAGGTTTAATTGGGAGTGGAGAGCAGTTTAGCTGGGTTAGTAAGGTCGTATGAGGTGATTTTTTTTTTTTTAATTTAGTGTAATTTTTTCTGGTGTGCGTGCATTTCTGCCACCCCACCAACTTCCCAATCCCTTAAATATTACACTAGCTGTAGAAAGATGCTCCTCATTCTGAAGAAAACTTCTGAAAAAAAAAAGAAAGGTAGCTTTTCATGAATTACTTTAAATAAATCACCAAGAATTCAAAGAACATAATTCAACTAAATCTGCCATTTGTTCTCTATAATGTGGAGCAATACTGCAATTCAAACATATTTGTTATTTTACATAGGCTGCACCAGTACCTGGTTATGGCTACACCGCTGGCATGGCTCAAGTAGTGAGTTTCAAAATGATGGCACTATTTTTTGCATAGAACTACATGCTAAGTTTTGGGTTTAATTCTGATATTGATAACTGTGACTTTTTTATTTAATACTACAGCAATGATGACAGTGATATACAGTAGTAATAATAACAATAATAAAAATAATAATAATGATATTAATAATAATAATATTAATAATAATTATAATAATAATAATAATACTGTATACTACTCATTATAATTAATTTATATAAGAAGCATTTATTTCCACATATAGCACATAAAAGTTTCTTTAACACTCCTACACAAAATAAAATTTATGAAAAATAATAATATAAGGCTCTAGCATTTTTTATAATTTAATATTCTTGTATTTCCGCAGACTGGGTATCCTCCACATCCAACAGGTGTAAAAGGACACAAGGTAACCATTCTACAGTTGTATTCTTTTATTTTATTTTTATTTTATTTGGGTTTAAACTGAAAACAGAAACAAAAAAAACAGAAAAGTCCATTGAGAGGGCTTTTCAACAGGTTCAGGCACCCATAAAACGACACATCCTTGTGATGCACATTTCCCACGGCAAAAAAATAATAATAGTTATAGAATGTGCATGGAGCTTGCTTGTGTGAAGCTGGAGTGGGAACAAATCAATTGAAGTACAGTAGTATCTTCTGTAGATTCAGTTTTGCAGTGTTTGTTAACAAGTTTGAAATAAAAAAATAACTTTAAAGAAATGTTTTCTGCTAAAAGTTTAAACAAGTTTGGTTTATACAGTAGTTTAGGTGATTTAATGTCAGTTAAATATACTCCATGACACAGATTCATGTTACAGTGGTCGTATTTATTTTTTTATAATACAAATTCCCAAAATTCACAGCATTCATTTTGAAAAGAAGCCCCCCACCCCCTCTTTACTTTGCATAGGTAGCCTCGTAAAGAAGCCCATCTAAAGTTAGCAAAAAAAAAAAAGGGAAAAAAAGTAGCCCAGGGCTTCAATTGTAGAAAATAGTGAATAATTTGCTGGTGTTTGTTTTTTGATCCTCTTAAAATTGGATAAATAATATTGCTTTTCTGAATAATTTAAGTTTTCATTTTTTTCAGGTTAAGAAAGTGAAGAAAAAGTCCAAAAAACACAGCAGTTCCAGCTCAAGCAGCAGCAGCAGCAGTAGCAGTAGTAGCAGTTCTTCTGACAGTGACTCAGGTTATAAACATCATGGCAAAAAACATAAAGTCAAAAAGCTTAAGAAACATAAATATAAGTATTGAGGCTTGAGCAGCTCATTTGCTTAGCAGTAGGGGTGAGGTTTGAAGAAAAGTGGGGTATTTCCCTGAGCTTCAGTTTGAACTGTGCCTGCTTACTGCAGTTAGTCAAAAAACATTGTGTATTAATTTAGTTTTTTCTAATTGGGTTTTGACATTAGTATAATTGAATTACTTTACTGTAGTTGCTCTAGTACTAGCCCCCTCCCACCTCCTGCTTGAACATAAAATTTTGGGGGTGGGTTATACCCAGGGAATCCCAATTTCAATCAAAAGTTGATTTTTTAGCCCTGCATGCCTAATTTAAAAACAATATTCAATTTTCTTTTTGAGTATTTGTAAATTTCAGCCTAGATACACATTCAAATTATAGCCTGCTGGGCTTTTGCCTGAGGAAAGGCTAGTATGTAAAATTAGGCATAAAATATGGGCTGGGATTATACCCGAGGAACTATGGTATTGGCATCATTTTCATCATGTGGTAATGAGTATAAATAGTTTGATATTCTTAAGTATATTTGTGACCGGTTTATTTTTTACCTTCATTTTAATTGATTTACTGTATTGTTAATAGTTTAGTCCCACTTTGATTGATTTACATTATTCTTCAATACTTTTAATTATACCAAGGATAAATTAATTTTTCATTTATATATTTTTGAAATTTTACAGTTCTCATGTTTGATTGACCAAAAAACATTAACTATGTTTCGTTATTGAGTTTGATTGGTTTGCACCATTCGTCATTAGATCAATTTTAATTTTATTTATACAAATCTTCATTAATTTATCTTCACTTTGTTTGGTTTACTGTAATATTCATTAAGGTAAAGTCAAATTGCAATTGATGTAGTAAACTATCTTGAATTTATATTTGCTTTTGGTAACAAAACAATGGCAGATCCAAGGAATTTGAAATAGAGGGGGATCCAGGGAGGGACCTTCACAGATGAAGGGTACTCCCACCTGAATATGACCATTGTATTATGGCACCTCAATGTGGCTGGGAATGGCACTCTCAGACTTAAATATGAATATTATTTTTTTTCTCTATTTTTTTATGATTTTGGAAAATTTGAGGTTCGGGGATGGGGGGGGGGTACAGCCTGGCTTTTCCCTCTTGAATTGGCCACTGCAAAGATCAACATTGTAATTATGCATATTAATCATTAGTGACATAACTGAAATGTATAATTTGTTTACAATAATGACTAGATGTAACACAAAGTGTTTTTGAAGATTTGTTAGAAGTAAAAAAATACTTTGATGAAATTAATTGAAATTCTTTAAAGTGAAATATTCCAATTAATAGCAATATTTTATTATATATTTATCAATTTTAAGTATTTATTTCATATTGTTCAATATAATATATATTATACATTAAACACATACGTGCTAGGATGCGACAGCTTCATTAGTATACCTGGCGGTGTCAGGAGAGAGCTGGTAAGATCAAAGCTTAAGTATTGTGCTTTCTTTATTTGCTTTGTTACATTTTATTCTGGTGATCTTTCCTTTTTGGAGGTTTTTGAATAAATTTGAATTATACTCGAAAATTTTATAAAGGCAATTTTTACAAAGTACATTCTACATTACATTAAAAATGTGAACTTTTTTTAATTTTAGGCAAGGTTGATTTGAAACATTTTCTGAAATAAAGATAATGAATACATTACTGCTGTACTCTAGTGCTTTGTGATTGGGCGTTGAATGTTTTGAATCAGTGCACCAAAGGAGGGACAGGTGTGTGTGGGGGGTGGGGGTTTTAGGGGTGAAAATATTTGTTGGCCGAACTAATATTGTGATTGCCAATTTGTATTGTGGTCTAATAAAGCACAATTTTGGGCCATCTTAAACCATAAAGTTTATCGCCAAGGGCAGATATAGGGAGGCCACTGGGGATAACCCTACAAAAAAAAAAAAAAAAAAAAAAAAATGAAGAAAGGAAGGAAGAAAATGAATAAGAAAGTGGCTATCACGGTGCTACAAAACAGCTATTTTTGATTAAAATTGGCATGTAGGCCTATGGTTAAGAATTTCTAAAAAATAATCCCCGCTCCCCCCACCCCCAACATTTACAATTTACACTGACGCCTATAAAAGAACTTCATTTGAAAAGTTTACCAAACAACATGAGATTTTTGGTGCCAGAGGACGTCTTAACCATCTTCATTAAGAGCAATAATGATTATGGTGATGGTAATGATATTGATGAGTTAATGATAGTGTTAGGCTAATTATTGTGGATCCACATCTGTTTTGCTCTGACAATTTTTTTTATTCCATCATTTATTTTAAAATTTTTATAATGAATATATATTTCGTAAAAAAGTGTTTGACTGAAGAGATCAACACAATATTATTAGCTGGCATATGACTGTCAGAGCACATACGCGTGTATTCCTGGCCGCCTTCTGATTGGTCAGTTGTTAAGTTCGACGACTCCGAAAGGTCCATTGTAACATATTTTAGCGGTTTTATTGCATGGAAAAGGCTATATCGAAAGGCTGTCATTGCTGCTGTCTACTTGTCTATTGTTTTGTGTTGATTGTACTTTCTACATTATTGTGCAATTAAGATTTAAAAATGTCATTAATTCTAATTATGATATCGAACAATAATATGTGAATGAAAGGAATGCAAAGTAGCTCATTCTGGTAAATATTATGTTCAGAGCGTGGACCTATTAATAAATAGACTGGTGGGCTTCTCGGCCCAGAGATCAGAACTTTCAGTTTGATTAAAGGTTTCATATTGTTATCGAAGAGAATTGGCACAATATTGACAGTACAACGTATACATATAGAATATAGGCTAATAAAATACACACGAAGACTCCATTCAAAATTTATAAAAATACTAAAAATATACTTTTAACATAAATAATATAAAGGCCTATACAAGAACTAGTATTACTATAAGTTGTTTTTATTATTATTATAATTATTATTATTATTATTATTATTATTATTATTAATTTATCAGTTAGATTAAAGGTTTCATATTGTTATCGAAGAGAATTGGCACAATATTGACAGTACAACGTATAAATATAGAATATAGGCTAATAAAATACACACGAAGACTCCATTCAAAATTTATAAAAATACTAAAAATATACTTTTAACATAAATAATATAAAGGCCTATACAAGAACTAGTATTACTATAATTGTTTTTATTATTATTATTATTATTATTATTATTATTATTATTATTATTATTATTATTATTAATTCCATTGGCTTTTAATGTTCCATTGCTATTTAATTATTCATGAAACTTCAGTAAGTATCGCCCACGAAGCTAACGAGAGGGCTACTCTAACAGTAGCTACTGATACTGAAGCGTGAATAGACGCCACCAGCGGCCAACAAGTTGTGAGCAGTAAGTTCCAACTTGACCTTTTAGATTTGACCTGACTGGTAGCTGGAGCTCAGCTCAATCCTAGACTGGAGGTAAGCTCACAATAAGGTACTGCACAGCTAGTAAGCCGAATATATCGGCACAGGTTTTTCTCTCAATGAGAAAGATGGCAACTCCTGGACGTAAGCCTCGAAGGCAGAGCTCCTTTCATCGAATGATATCTGACATCATCTCTGAACGGAAAAAGGATAAAAAAGGTGGTGCAACATGTGAAGAGTTAGGTAAGTACCCAGCAGTTCATGCACTAGCGAGAGGGCCTAGGCCAGTCTAGATAGTCTGCTGCACTGCAGAGGGCCTGAACTCAGTCTGATCAACAGCGTGTCATTCCAGGTACCTAAGTAGAGGACAACTTTGAGTTTTGGCTTTACGGACACACCCCCATGGCGGCAAATTAGTGTAACTGAATGGGTTAAAACACAACCATTTCATTTTTTATTTGAATACAGATTTATTTAAGTTCCACATTTTTTAACACTTTCTAGTAATGGTAATATAGCATACCAAAACAGCAATAATAAATGAAAATGGCAACGCTATATTTATAAGAATGGAATGGACCAAAACTGGATAAGTCAAAACTGCCAAAATTGAGCGCCGAAGGTCCGGCTGCGAATTTGAACTAGGCAAGGCGGTACAGGTATACCGTTTGTTAAACACCAATTGGTAATATTTTTCTCTTTCTCTTACAGAACAATGCAAATGATCATGTTTACAATAATAATACTTGTAAAAATATGAAAGTACTGTATGCTGAATGGTGATGAAAGAAACACCTTATTTTCTTAGCTTATTTTTTAACATGAATGAAATTTTGATATAATATAAAAGCAATAACAATTGTAAAAATAATGATAGTGAAAAAAAAAATATATATATTATGTATATTCAACCATAGTGACAAAGACAAACAGGTTCCTACTGTCTAAATAGACTATAGTCCTACAAAAAATCCCATTTAAAAACATTCAATCATACTTGACAAATGTAAATAAGCCACTCACATGTACATCAGCATTCTATACTGCAACTGTGAATTGCGATCGAAATCATCTGTACATGTTGCCGTTTTGGTCTGTTGCCTTTTTGGTACTTGTCATTGCCGTTTTGGTTTATTGCCCTTTCGGTTATTGCCATTTTAACTGTAGTTTGTAGGCCTATTGTACTGTATGTTCTTTGTTATAAATATGTATTTAAAGATGTACTGTCAGACAGTCAAAAAATGGAAAATATAAATTCTGTCTGTTTCTTAGTGGAAGCTAATAATTTATTTGATTCTAAGTTTTGTTTGTTTGTTTGTTTTGTTTTTTAGGTATTTTCCTGTCTTTGACTCATAGTACACCTTTAAATAATTTACTCTTTTTATGTATGTGGTATAGTACTATGTTGTAAGCAGCCATAATTCAGAATATATATATTAAGTTAAATGATATTTATTTTGATCTACATTTATAAATTTATTATTTATGTCAAATGCCATACCGTTGTATTTATAGTATAATTTAATATGAAAAGGGTAATTCAGTAAGCCATAAACCGGCTGCACCCACACATTCAAATCACAGAGCTTGTGGTTCTGGTAATTATCTACTGCAGTTTGTATTGAATATTTTTGTTTTTTTATTTTAAATTGCAAATATTCATCTTTATTTAGTATAGTTAATTTTACAATTTAATTTTACTGTAATTTAAACTTCTAGTGAATATTTGATTTAAAAAAAATCTATTTTAGCAAAGGAAATAAGCATTTATAGATTTCAAAAAATTAAAGTATTTTATTTAGATTGAGCACTAATTCTTTTCAGAATGTTTTGATTAAAAAATATTATTATTATTAAAATATTGAAAACTAATAATATAAAATTAACATTATCTATTAATAGAATCCATCTGCCCATGGGTGTACCTAGTTAAGAAGGCTTTGGGCAATGCCAGAAATATTTGACTAATATTGCATGATCATTAATATTAATAATATTATTTCTTCAGAAACATTACAGAATGAATAATTCATTACATGTTAGTATCTCAGTGCATACTAATCAGAAAAGGCATGTTTATACCAGTAAAAATGATAACTGTGAGCTTGGTACCCACTTAAAATAAGGCATACCAGCCTTAGTTTGGTGTCATTCATTCGTTCATTCGCTTCAATCTTCCAGTGAATTCATTCATAGGCCTCAATCACACAATGAATTCATTCATAGGCCTCAATCACCCAATGAATTCATTCATGGGCCTCAATCACCCAATGAAAGGCACAGAATTGGTCATATTTACTGTGTGTGTACTGAACCGCAGAGATCTTTGGTTCTATTCTGCTGCTGCTAGCCTACAATGCAAGTTAGCTATGAACTGTTGTCTCTTTAACTGTTTAAGTCCTGAGGGAATCAAGGCCCACGATTATGAAAGTACTCAGGTACACTTATTATTACTGTTAGTGGATTTTCTCATTCCATTCTCTACCTAACCCTTTTTCTACCTTTAGCAAACTTTATTATTTCAATCTTCTGGGTTTAGTATTAGTGAGGATCCCATCCTATAGTAAAAGATTGCACTACATCCAGCAAACTATTGTTTAATATTTCCTGTACATGTCAACATAAAGACCTATGGTGGCTACTCTCTTAACCAACCATTCCTCATAAGTGAACACTCTTCCTGAACAAGCGGGTCATTCCTTATGTGAAGTTCAGCTGTATCTGGGTGGTTGCTTACTGTTAACTTATTAGCACCACAAAGGCATTATTGATCAGTATATCATTGAACAATACAACATTCAATTCAAAATTAAATTTATTTTCTTTAATGATTTTATTAAGGGAAAACTCAAGGTATCAAAAGACCAGCGTTTGTAGGCCTAAGCAATGAATTACTGTAGGTAGAATAGGTGTATTAGTTATATAGTTAGTGTACAGTACGATCGCAAAATATTTTAAAGCCCCATTTTAGTTGTATGCAAAAGGATAAAAAAATGAGAAATTGAGACTATTTCTCATAGGACTTCTTTGTTACTAGGCAAATTCAGAGGTTGTAGATCGCATCTGCTGGAATGCTTTCATTTTTGTGTATACTTTATACAGTCAATAAAGTGCGCCCTCTCTAATGAGATTAGTTTTTGTACTTCGCATCTCGTACACTGCGGTCGATCGAGTAGGCCTGATATATGATTAATTGTCAAAATCTCGGTTAAAATTGTTTTTTAACAAATTTGAAATAATTCCAATGAATATAATATTTCTCAAGTGTCAATACTAGCAACAAAAAATATCATGTCGGCCGTTTTTATATCTGATAACAGAACATAAATTGAGGTAAGGCTAGGCCTAGCCTAGCAGTATTGGATAGGTTAATGTTTCCGGCGCCTACTGTATTTCTTCGCAGACCTATCACAAAATCAAAGATAAAAAAATAATGGAACACAAAAAAAATCAAATTTCAGTCTTATTTTACATTTTTTCATGTTTACTCATGTCTAAATTCAGTTAAACTAGCCAATTTTGTATTATAAATCTTTGATATACGGAAAATCAACTTTTTCTAAACAACTGAAATATTCAGGGAATGGGGCATTTAGTGCATAATATTATTAGCACTGCGCTTTTGTAAGTAGGCGTAATTCAGAATAATATCTCCCTAAGGTAGTACTAGTAGTTTAAAATGCAAATGAACATTAATTGAATTATATGTCAAATAGTGTTGGTATTTATAGAAATGTTTTCATTTTAAAATTTTACTTGTTAACACAGATACACAATTAGCATGTTATTTCTTCATTGTATTTGTTATGAACTTTTTTGTGTCTTAATTTGTTGATTGAGTTGGCAACATTGTGAAGTGTTTGGTGTACCCTTCTATCGAGAAATGGTCAACTCTTACAAATTTAAGAAAATATTGAAAAATCAAAAGAATAATTTAATGTTGGAGGCTAACTTCATTTGGTTTCAATTGGATAAATATGAAGCAAATATTAAGTTTTGATGAATTTGCTATTAAGAATTCCACAAAATATACTCTACGTATTTTTTTGTCTATATATTTATGTTGCTTTGTTATGGTACCGTATACAAATTCTGAACATATCTTATGCCAATTGATAGTCTTTTTACTAAAAAAACATTGTTTTACTTACACATGAACCTAGTTTTAATAGTAACCAAAAAAATATATATATATAATATTGAATATTATTAGGATTATGTTTTTAATTTTGGCACATATTCTTTAACATCTATTGGCATTTAAAACATTTGTTTTGTATTTTAAAAAAAATTGTATTCCTTGCTGCTGTTTTTAAAAAAATTTTACTGACTTTCTTTTTATTAGTATTTTTGCCCTAATGTATACATGTGTTGTGTACTGTTTATATAAATTTTATGATATATTGTTTGGTAATTACTGGATGGGAGTGGCTCTCTGACATAAGCTTACTTAGAGACCAGGCCCTTCCACCTAGCTGTGTATTTGATTATTGGCAATAAAGAATAAGAATAAGAAGAATAAGTAAGAATGTTTCTTGAGATTTAAAACCAATAGTTAATTGCCTTAGACAATCAACCAGTCATTTTACCTCAAAAACCTTCAAGAAATACTAAGATTATGTTTAATTATATTTTTCTTCAGGGGGTTATATATTAATGGATGTCAACTGCTTCTGGACAAAGATATTTGCGGAACATTTCTTGGAGAAGGCGGACGACCAGGGCGATGATATGTTGTTTTTCGTGAGAAGGAAAGAATTCAAGACCCGGAATGAAGCTCAGGTAAATTAAGTGAGACAACATTGACATTACTGAGTTTCAAGGGGTGTAGGTTGGTTTTGGTCTGTAGGGTATGAAAATCGAGCATGCAGAAATGATCCCAATTCTAATGAAAACTTAATAGTCATATTTCGTTTTTTAACCTACTTTATATTTGGAACTCATTTTCCATCATGGGGGAGGGGTGCACCCTGGCCTACACAAACGAGTTTTAGTTCTGAGATAGCTAGTACTCGGGAATAGTTTGACTTTAATACCCTATTCAGACTATACACTCTCTTGCGATCGGTTGTGATTCGTTGCGATCAGATTCCGTGGTAATCGGGAGTAATAAAGATTGTAGCGCCCAATCGCAACGGGTAACAATTGCGATATCGATTACATATCGACTACTATTGGTGAGCTTTCACACATGATTTTACTTTGCGATTGGGTGTCGCAATTGCTACAACCGATCGCAATGCGATGCTAGTCTGAATGGGGTATAATGCGAGGCATTTGTCTAGAGTGTGAAATCTCCTAGAAATCTGTCATCGCAGACATTGTTCTTTTGACCAATCAGAAATTCTAAAACACATGTACACGTCATCTTCGACCAGGCTGCGCGCGCTACAATAGTTACTATGATGTGCCATCGCATTGTTGAATTTCAAACAATTCATAATTTTTTTGCCATTCGTGCTACACTTGATACATAATTAACATACAGTACCAGATTAATTTTCATCTAAGAACTAGTCACTATTATTGGTAGTAAACACTATTTTGTATACAGTAAATGGCAAATACAACACATCAATGACACTTCAGCATTTTTCCTTAATCTGATATTCTTATAGAATATATTATCTGAAGAGTTGTATCTAATGACGACCAGATATAGAATAATGGATCCAAACACAATGCTATGTCTATCTATATTTAGAAACTCTTTTTATACTGTATTATATACTGTACGTATGAGGAACATTGTCAGGAAAATTATTTTGTATATAAACAATGGCTGTTTTGTTTATATACAATCGTGATAGTGGTTGGAACAAGTGTGAATGCCAGGAAACAGCACTTTGCCATCAATCAATATGGATACTGTACAAATCCAATTATACAAAGGAAATATGAAAATTAATGATGCTTTTTATGTTGGGTTTAATGGTAGTTCAGAACTAAAGTGTTGTATATGCTAGTGGTGTTAATTAGGCTCAGACGTGTTACTGAAGTTAAGTGCTGTGGAATATAAACTATTTTATGAATGTGGAGGTACAAATTGCCATGACAACTTCTAAGGCCAGTGGCATCCATGACTTGGCTTTAGATTAGGATTGACTACCATACTAAGTAGACTAAGGTTACCATGGCTACTTACTCTTATGGTGGTTTCAGTATTCATAAAAACAACCTCAAGATAATGTCTCAATTAGCAACTACATTCATCATTAATTGTCGGGATTACTGTATTACAATCATCATCAACTCACCTCATTAAGTCAAACATTGTTTTCTGTATTATCATAAATATAGACCATCACCTTCATTATCGTTTCGCCATTGTTGTCATCATTAATGTCATCATCATCAGCTATACTTAAGCGTGGCAGGACCGCCACACTTGGGTTGAAAAAAACAAAATGACCGCCACGCTTGGGCAAAATAAGCGAAGATTGAACCACCCTTAAAATGTTAGCACCACGCTAAAAAAATGTGTATTAAATATGTTTTATTTAAAACGTTATAATAATAAATACCAAAATGTCGAACTGCAGGCAGATCCACAATGTTCCCCTAGGGAACAGTGCTTGTTCAATCATTGTGTCCGACACCATAAGTAGTATCAAAAAATGTATCCGCCCTTTTAAAATTCTGCACACCACCCTTTAAATTTTGTGGACAACATTTTTTGAAATTCCGCCACTCTTTAAAAAAAATCCTGGTGGGAGGGCTGATCATCATAGTTATCAATCAATCATTATCTTCATCATCATGATCATCATCATTGTCAATTATCGTCATCATTGTAATTATCATAATTGTCAATCTTGATAATGATCATTATCTTTAGCTAAGTCATCACTTAAAATCATTACCACCACCATCACTTTAATCATCATCATCATCATCATTTTCGTCATCATAATTTTCCTCTTCGTTATTATCATCATGCTTGTTCAATCATTGTGTCCGACACCATAAGTAGTATCAAAAAATGTATCCGCCCTTTTAAAATTCTGCACACCACCCTTTAAATTTTGTGGACAACATTTTTTGAAATTCCGCCACTCTTTAAAAAAAATCCTGGCGGGAGGGCTGATCATCATAGTTATCAATCAATCATTATCTTCATCATCATGATCATCATCATTGTCAATTATCGTCATCATTGTAATTATCATAATTGTCAATCTTGATAATGATCATTATCTTTAGCTAAGTCATCACTTAAAATCATTACTACCACCATCACTTTAATCATCATCATCATCATTTTCGTCATCATAATTTTCCTCTTCGTTATTATCATCATGATTTTCATCATCATCATCATTATCGTCATCATCATAACTTTTATCATCATCACCATCCTTATCCTTAATCATCAATGTCTGTTATCCATATCATCTCTTCATTATCACCATTATAACCTCATAAATAGGTGCCATACCAATTGTCTGGTCATTATTACCGGTATACATCATACAGTAGTTTTATCATTTTTATTTAAATCATCTCATTAGATTCTTTAAATCAACCACAGGCCTTTATTCTAATGATAATTGTTGTTATTATTATTATTGTTATTATTATTATTATTATCATTATTCAGTGTTCGAAATAAGGCTTGTCCGCTTGTCCCAGCCAACCAAAATGTCCCACGGACAACCAGAACTATAGGGCAACTTGTCCGTGGGACAACCAAAAAATTTTGGACCCAAACCTCACCTCAAGTAATCGTTTTTTGCCTCCCGAACTTTACTGCGTTGTTGTCACGGGCGCAGCCATTTTGGATTCGTCGAATCACATGTTTTCTCGCGTTTTGGTCTGAGACTTGAAATGAGGTGCCCTCTCGCGATGGGCGGGCCTCACAACAAGGCACTGACTCGCGTATCACGGCGAATGGATGTGTGCATGGGAAGGCGTTCAAACTTTTCATTGAACTCTTCGTCATGTCGGACGATCTTAGGAAATGGCTGGGTTTGAAGGAAAAAGCAAGTTCAAGAGTGGAGAGAAATGAGAGAAAAAGGGCTACTGACCAATCCTATGATAAGGAGAAGAGGCAACAGACATTCAGTGTAAATTACCCAAACCCATGCTCTGACAGTGCTACAAAAGCAGGAGGGAAAACAGTGCAAGGTAGAAATGAAGCAAGCAACAGATAATGTACGGACAAGTAAAAACATTTGCGGACAACCGAAGTTTCCATCTAGGTTGTCCGCCGGACAACTTTAAGTTTTTCCTTATTTCGAACACTGTTATTATCATTATTATCAAGCCCATAGCCAGGTAGGTTCGTTGGGTTCGAACGAACCCCCTTTTCATGAAGTGCCCTTTCAACAAAGGCTGGCTAGCCTACACTTTAGGCCTAGCCTAGAGCCTATCATCATTAAAAGTCCTATTTTAATACCTGATTGTTAGGCCTACCTAGTAACCTTAAAAATTCAGGCCCCCTCAACCTTGACTCAGAAATAACCAGGATGGTGTCCGGTGGGGGATAGTTTCACCTGTGTATATATATATATACATATGATTATAATACGCTACAACCAACCATACAAATTTGTCTCGGTTCTTTTTGTTATTGATTGTCTTAAGTGAGTATAGTATGATACAACTTCATGCTATATGAACAAAAAATAAAGAATAAACCATACTGGATTCTTTGGAGTTTGTATCATGCTACTGTTGTTAAATTACCAATACTGTAGTACTAAAAGTAGTTTTTTTTTTGTTTTTTATCTTTTCCCAACTCAAAAAATTACCTCTTTAATATATATATATATTTTAATGTATGGCCTCTCAAATCAATTAAATAACACCTGTAAATGCTTAGAATGCTGGACCCCACCAAGGTTTTGGCCCTGGACCTCCCGGGGCCCTTGGCGGCCCCCTGGCCCCAGCCATTGGTGCTCGCAAGTGCCCTTTCCGTGTTAAAAAGAACCCCCCTACCAAAATCCTGGCTACGGGCTTGTTATTATTATATGCTTGTGGCATATGCTGTAAATCTCAGTTGATGGTGTTTGTTTCTGAGAAGAACTGTTTGGATTGTGATGTCAGTCGTTCATGGAAATGAGTTCTACCGTGTTGACCATGGGGAACCATTTGTTCACTTGTCTCCTTAATAAAAGGTTTTGTGTTTGGCACTCAAAAATAATCATTAATCATTGTCACACTGCTAATTAATTTAATTAATCATTCTCATTTCCTTTAATTTGAGATAAACAGACTTTCAGAAGTACTTTTGGGATAATTAATAGTAATTAATTATTTTAATTACCACTGAATCTACTGAAATTGATAGTTCTGTGATTGAAATCATACAGTTACTTATACAGTTACAAAAATAATTAATTTTATGAATGAATTTATTTAATGATTATTTAGTATTTAATTTATTGATTAATAATCGATTACCGTAATTTATTTGAATAAATGCCCCAATTTGAATTATTGCATTGTAGCTGCACATTTACAGTGAGGTGAGTATCCGAACCCAATTTACACCAAAACAAAAATAAACGCCTCCCTCGATTAAATGCCTTCCTCAAATAAATGCCCACTCAGAAACCCTTCTCAACAAAAAGCCCCCTGGGGTGTTTATTTGAATAAATGCAGTAATCAATCATGTATTATAATTATAATAGATTTGGTTAGAAAAAACATATTATCCTCTTGATGATTGAAACCCAATACAAACCCTCCAGTTACTGTAATACCATTTGGCTGCTTTACCGAACTACAGTTGTAGGCGACGATGTACTGGTAATGCATTACCCTAGAAAGGGAACATTGTGGACGCATTTTTCTCAAGGTCATTGTAACATCTTTATCACTGATTTGGTGCTGTTTGTCTAGAACAAGTTGAATATTTAGAGATTAGAAATGATAATGTGAATTAATGGTGACAATTTCATCAATTGCAATCACAGTTATCTAGACCACAATATTGTTACATTCTCTTTAATGCATATATTATTTCAATTCAAATCATAACAGTAAGAAAACAGAATAATATAATATTTTTTTTCTCTTTCGTGGGGTCGTCCCACTTTTATTTGTTCCATGATTTCTTTGAACATAAATATTGTTTTGTTACTATTGACATATTTATCACTTATTTTAAATTAGTACTATTATTCTATTTCCTTTATACATTATTTTTTTTCCATTTCTAAACATTATACAATTAATACAATAATTTAATTACTCCTCCCATCAAACGATCAATGCAACAAAGCATAATCACCCAACGGTCAAGAAAGTATGATAGTAATAATGATACTAATAATGATGACGATGATGATAATAACAACAATAACAATAATAATGATAATAATAATAATAATAATAATAATAATAATAATAATAATAATAATAATTAACTTAGTCAATCATAGCAAATAGCTTATTTAACAATAGTGTTCTGTACATGCAATATTGAGGTCATATTAACGCAATTGCCCCAGAGGTAAGCGGTTATAACTTATACCAAAAATGTCGCCTTAATATGAGAGGAGGAGGTGTGGCAACTTATGTTCATAACACTATACCATCTAACATTGTTGATTTTATCACCGTTCCTGAAGACATTGAATGTGTGTGGACCAAACTGCAACCATATAGATTACCTCGTGAGGTTTCCATGATATACATATGTGCTGTGTATTGCAGCCCGAATCGTAATCGAGACTATCAGCGATCACTTGTGAATCATTTGCGCGACTCAATTGACGCAATCCGTTTACATAGTTGCCTTGCTAAGGTAATAATAGCAGGTGATTTCAATGATGTTGATGTTTCTCCTCTCACCAGGCATGTCTGTGACCTGTACCAGGTTGTTACAGGAAATACTAGAAGGGAAAAGACATTGGACTTGATATTGACAGACTTAAAGGACTTATACTTACCACCAGAAATCCATGGTCCTCTTGGGAAAAGCGATCACAATGTGATCATTTGGAAACCACATTCTCCATCTAGTTTTCCTTTAAAAGTCGGTAAAAAAGTAACCAAGTCATTTCAACCTCTTACTGACTCTAGTATCTGTCTCTTATACACATCTAGATGTGTATAAGAGACAGGCTAAGTTGCGTTGTTTGTGATCGATGTCACTATAACAACGCAACTTCACTCGTCGCGCTTTTTTGAACTACATATGTCGAGTGATTAGATGATTTGAAAAAATCCTTACATTAAATTTAAATTTATTAATAAGTATTGCAAGAATCATAATTTAAACAAATGCCAAAAGAAACTTATCTAAACTGGTACTTCATTTAGGGGGCCCCCCCCCCATTATGGCGTCAATGGCTTCACTTTTTTCTGTACAATGATTGGCCGATGAGCAATCCATCCAGCTATTTTAGTAGAGATCAGTGGTGTGTACGTGTGCGTACTTTATGTATCAAATAACACTCAACTTTCACTCACCAGCAATTGTTGGGACTCGAAAAAATGTATACGAAAACGGTTTCCCACCATAACCAATTGGCTGTATGTATCAACATTTGAATCTAATCCACCTTATTAAGATTTCAGTTGGCAGTTGTACCATTTGAAATTGACACAAATGGTCATTTTTAGCATTTAAACTCACTTAGTGAAACTAATTTGATGCCATAGGAATGGGTGGTGCATCCCCTCCCCCAGCCTACACCGATGCTTTTGGGGAAATGCTGATGCCACTGGTGATGTTAAGGAACCACTTTAATATATTGCTACTAACACTTGGTTGGTTTATGTAACTGTAATCTGAATAATATTAATAATACTCTATTGTACACAAAATACAGTAACATATTTTGATATTGAACTCACGGTAAGTGATGATTACTATAGGACTGGAAGTCTATCTTTACCAGGAGTTAAACATTAACGTAGTAGTTCTTATCAACAAACAATGCAGATCTTTTATTAATTTCTTGACCAAATTATACTTTTTTTTATCTTTTAGCAATATTTCCTCTGCAGCATTATTGATATTCATGATAAAAAATGTTGAATTATTCATGCCATTTTTAAATTTTTCCTGAATTACCATATTGTAAATAGTGGCCTTCTTGAAATTCAAATCCATCAACATACTTGTTTCTATTATTTTACTAAATATTCATTTTTGTAAGCTTCCATCCCTTTGTTCATTTTTAATATATTCTTTCATTATTTTCTCTTCTTTTTTCATCATTACTTTCTTTACAGAGTTTTCAGGTAAAGTATCTTTCCATTGTGAAATCTTGTGCATTCACATAAATGCAATTTTAATTTATGTTTTACTTCAATATTAATTTTAAATATTTATTCACAATTTTTAGATCACTATTACAATTAGGCCTGTTAATTTAACATTAGCATTGGGTCTATTAAATAAAATATAATATTTATAACACTGGTTGTTGGTAATCATACTGTATATAGTAGTGACAAACACTACACTTAAATGTGTACTGAAAAAAAATTTCTATCCCAAAAATAAAAATGGAAGGTCTAAGTAGGAGTTACTCAATAGTATTGGCTATGTTCTCACACGGCAGCTAACGGTTAGCAGGATCCGGATACTGCTAACCGTTAGCAGCTGTGCGTCCATGCGAAAAGATCCCAATCCGGATACCAACAATATGATGATCGAAACACTGGCCAATAAGAAACTGGAAATTGCAAACGCGTACGTGTGATTGGTTGATGATAGAAACGCCCTCAACTTGCTAACCGATAGCGCTTGCTAACCGTTAGCGTATCCGGATACCACTAACGGTTAGCGCTAACCGATCAGGCGTTCTCACGCAGGTGCTAACGGTTGGCGCTAACGGTTAGCTCCCGATCCGGATACTAGGGCTCTCGTGAGAACCAGGCTATTGTCAATCTTTTAATATTTACTGATATAAATTTTTAAGAAGTTTAATTTCTAACATGGAATTAAAATGATCTACAGTACCTGAATCTGGTTACGGGAAGGATAACATTTTTAATATTTTCTGTTTTGCAGGAAAACCAATTATAATATTTAATATAATAACAATTAACTTTTAGAACAGTTACTAATTTATGAATAGGCTGTTCTTCAAGAAATCAACAAATATAACTATTAATGACTAAAAACAACTATAAAACTAGATAGAACAATGACGTAAAATAAAACTTAAAATATGACGTAAAATAAAACTTAAAATATAATAAGATGAAAAGAATTAAGATTAGGAATTAATAATTGGTGCTTTACTGTTTCTTCTGATACCATTTACATACTTTAATAGGTGATACATTTATGGGGTTTTTAAAAAATTTAATGTTTGGTTTTCTTTTATTTCTACATAATTCTTTCTTTTTTACTGGTTCAGTCTTTGCATGTTGCACCTGCAGTACCACATTGCAAATTAATGAGCACTGTATATAAAGCTGATGTGGGCGATGATAATATTGATCATAATTTTTGCTTTCAAGTAGTAATTATTTTGATGTATGTGTATAAAGTTTATCTGGGCAATGATCACCATTTGCCTTCCAAATAGCAATTTTGTAGTGTTAATATAGTGTTAATAGTAATACACTGTCTTATTGTTGATATAGTGTAAGGTTAGTATTTGTGTTATTTTACTGTAGCATTAAAATTGATTAAAGAAGCAAGTTCAATAACACGTTGGGTATCAAGTAATTAAATATTGATTGCCAGTGTATTCAATTTATTAAAGTGTCCTCCCTGTTCAGTCATATCCCACTTGCTGTGTAGAACTCTAACCTAATAAAATTTAATGAAAACAGTGTAGTTTGTTATTTTATTGATACAGGGAAACCAAAAATATTAAAACAATATTAATCTCGTAATTGAAATAGATTAGAATAACCTGTACTCACTGAAAGTTTAAAGATATAACATGAAAATTAAGAAAAAGCTAAACCTTTGAATTGATTTTTAAAAAGAATCAAATCTGTTGTCACCTTTCAATAAAATTAAAATATAGACAAAATAATAATTTCTAATAATTTTCAGACACCATTTTATAAGTTGCTGGTCTAAGTATTGTATTATCACCCACTATTATTAGTGTTGTTGTTCTTGTTGCTGTTCTATTATTCAGTTCCACTGTTGTTCTTGTTTTGGTTTCGGGAGGAGGTGGGGGGAAGGAAGGGGGTGGTGGTGTGCGAAAGTTTAGAATTTCACCCTCTTACATAACAAATCTTATTAGTGATCGTAAAATTACAAGGACCCTCCGATCATCATCACATCATCTATTACATAAACCACGAACATGTACTAGCACCTATGGTGACAGTGCATTTTCAATATCAGCTCCATCTCTCTGGAACAGTCTTCCACAGCTTGTCCGTGAGGCCGATAATGTTACACTTTTCAAGTCGCGTTTGAAGACACACCTCTTTTCTTCTGCTTTCTCTTTTTAATGCTCTCTTTGGTTTTTGGTTTATTTTTTAGTTGATGTTTCAGCGCATAGAGAAGTTTGATATGCGCTATATAAGTACACAATAATAATAATAATAATAATGTGGAACTAAATCCCAGTTGCAATGAATAATGATTGGCTGCTGAACTGCATTTTTCTGTTTTCATCATCTTTTACCTTTGTTCTCTTTGATCCGTTATTTGTACTGTGTGCCTTCAGCTTCACTTGTGTATCAAGCGTTCAACACAACTTCAGAAGAGATATAGTAAATCTTCCGTAATGTATTTTACATAGTATCCAAACCTGTGATGGTGTGTAATATTACACTACATAACCTTATCACTATGAACCCTTAGGACCAATTACACTTAATATTTTTCTATGTTTAAATTATGTATCATCTTGACTGAATACACATGACATTTACATTAAAATTATCCTTTTTTTTTTCTTTTTGTGTTTGCAAATGAAATAATATAATCGATCAAGATGAACTTTAACCTCAATAATAGAGCTAAGTAATTAATTATGAGAAATTATTTAATCGTCTTATATTTTTTTTTCTTTTTGTTTGCAAATAAAATAATGTAATCAATCAAGATGAACTTTAAACTCAATAATATAGATAGGTAATTAATTAGGAGAAATTATTTAATTGTCTGAAATATTTATTTATACCATGGTAATGAACTATTTGGAATTAATTAGATTGTGCAAATATTGGCTTTAGTAGAATTATGAATTAATAGACCACAAGGGAAATGTGCTTCTTATGCACACCTGTATAGCTTTCTGAGAACAATTACACCATTAATGTGATCAGAAATATATCATCATACTTTACAAAAGGTTTACTGTAGATCTGGGTCAGTTAGCAGTCACCTCAGTTTGATACTGCTCATTGAAGAGAATTCTAAATTATTACTCTGCCCAATACTGATAGGCATTTAAAATCAGAAAGTATACAGATCATTTATTTTATAATTCTACATCATTGACAATAAATTGAGAGATGATACTAGTCCTACATTCATTCGCTTCCCAGTATTAATTTGAAACTGAAAATAAATAAGCTCAAAATATAGTAAGTAGGCCAAATATAACAAAAAGAAGTTTTTCTCCAGGTTTTCAGAACCCACTTTTTCCCATGATAATTGCCCAGGCTTACTGTAGTTGTATCTACTTGAAGGCGTTTCCCTGGCCAAAGATGGTTATTGCTTATGAGGATGATTTGATTTCTGCATTATTTTTGTGTTGTTTTGCCTCATGAAGGATGTAGCTAAAAACAGATGGCAGAATTTGATATATAAAACATGTTTTTATTTTTAATTTGGCCTTAAAAATGTTTCCTATTCATATGTAGTGTAATAGTTTCTTATTTGCTCTACTGAAACTTGGAGGCCTACTATAATAGGCTTCCTGCATGATTATTAGCTACAGTATTCCTGTTTTCTGGGTACAAGTCCAAATCAAAATCGGTCAAATTTTGTTTGCAGGGGAGTGGAGTTGTGGATAGATAGTGGGCTTATACTTAAGAAACTATGACACACAATTACTCACAATCACTATAAAGCTTCTCACCAAGCACATCAATATAATATTGGTTGTAACTGTCTTTAATATTCAAGTTTTCAATTCTTGTTAGTACTGAATATTTAGAATTATTTATATCAATCAATTTTGTTGAGAATGCTCTCAGATTGTGATATTTTAGCTCAACTCTTTCAATTCATCATAAATTAAACTGCTTCATTAAAATGTCATGCCCTTTTTAGATATACTTCAACAGCCATTACCAAACGTTTTGAGTGTAATGTTTTAACGTTGATGGTCGAACTGTTAATCCACATCAGTGTACTGTAAGGTGAATGGTGCTGTAAAACGTGATTATCAGATAAATGGTGCTATTGAGTAGCATTTTTTGAGATATTTTTTGAGTGTTAATGTTGTGGAATTTTTAGATGATTATACTGTAAATTGAGTGATGATGTGAGATGAATAGTGGTGTGTAATGGAATTATGGTCTTCCATTTCTATAGCGCATAATAAATGCAATGTCTATATGCGCTCTTTCACCCAGTGTCAAGAAAAGACGAAAGGAAAAATACCAACAAAAAACAAATTAAGGAAGATTAGAATTGCGAAAAAAGATGAAATTTAAGTCTGGATTTAAAAAGAGCCAAAGATGAAGCCGACCTTAAGAAATTTGGTATTAAGTTGTTTCGCAACTTAAGTGCAGCAACAGAGAAGGATCTATTGTCACAGGTTTTCAACCGACCAGAAGGACAGTAAAGAGCGGTAGAACTGGATGATGTGGACCTGAGTAGAAGACTACATGTAGTGAGCGCAATTTGAGGAGGTCATCATTGTACTGCGGAGATGAACAATGAAAAGACTTGTACACGAAAAGAGGAATTTTAAAGTGTGCTCAACAGGTAGTCAATGAAGATGACAAAGAGTAGCAGTTATATGTTGACGCTTTGGAGTAACATTCAGCTAAAGCTGAAGTTCCCGAATAATAAGTGGCATTATGAAAAATGAGATCGGCCATTATTGTACTGGAATGTAAATTGAATCATGGGAGATGAATTATGCTGTAAAATTATAGTGGCATTCTGGAAAATTTGTGGTGTTATGAGATTAATGGTGCTGTGAAAAATGAGTTGCATTAATTATTAGATAAACAGTGGTACTGAAAAAAACTAGTAGCGTTATGAGATGAATGTTGCTGAAAGATTTGTATATGAATGTCCCAGTATATTATTGGATGACACCTTAAATTAATGTTAAAAATCAAATTTCTTATTTTTCTGTATTTTTTATCACCATATCTAGAGGTTATGGCGTATCTAGAGGTTTTAAAATGGGGTGGGGTGATTTTAGGTGATTTTTAAATACTTGACCATGATTTTTTTGGGGGGGAGGGGACAACTGGGTGGCGCGAGTAATTTTTGGAGTGGGGGTGTGCACCCCTGCCCTCCGCAAGATACGCCACTGCACTAAGTATAGTTCAATTTTGAAATCATTTCTTTAGAAACTTGCATAGCACTACATGTATGCAACACTTGGAGCTTGATATTTTATTAAAATGTTATGCATAATCTAGAAGTAGTGATCTGTCTTTAAGTCTGAAAAATCTGTAAGTATTCAATGCACCTTTCTGCCCCATCCCTTGTATATTGATGCTATTAAGTTGTGGGACATAAAAGATTGTAAACACACATAATCATGTGTGTTTAATGGATATAATTATGTGTATTCCCAACTGATAAATAACACGTTCTTATTGGACAGTTGTTAAGTTTGAAAAAACACTTTCGAAAGGTTATCAAAACATTTAATTGCTTATTTAGAGTAATCCCATTAGGCGAAACTTTTTTTTAGTAGTAACAAAAACAAGTCGATTTTCTCTGATTCAAAACAAAATTATTTTCAATATCCTTAAAATGTTTGCTAGCCAATCTATATAGTATGGATCATTTTAATATAGAAAGATAAATATTTACTCTTTAAAGGATTAAGCAATTAAAATTTAAAAGTGCTGGTTTTAATGTTTATATTGTAGTTGCTCAACAAAAAACAGCATATTAATCATACCATAAAGTAAATAAAAATTATAAAATGAACTTCCCACTTTAAATGTCAATATAATACAAGCACCAAGTTTTGTATCTTTGGCTATCATTATCAGGTACAATGCAAGCACTATTCAATGTTATATAGTATTCTTAAAATCATATTTTTGCAGGCATCCATTGAGGTGTTCAGAAAACATGATTCTAAAAACCTGCCCAGCCTTGGTGACCCATCGGTTGATTGGGAAGAAACCGTTTATCTGAATCTCATCCTACATCAGGTAAGTGTCTCCTATCTCTAATAGGTGTTATCCTTAGCCATGTGTATTCCAAAGAAGACTGCTACTACAACAGTAACAGTAACAGATTAATTTATCGATCAACATGGTTAAATCAGCTTATAAGCACATATTGTCGTTAACCCCGGCCTTAAATCCCTGTCGGACAGGCCAAAATCCCCTGTCTACCGTTAATCATCCGGCCAGGAAAGGGATTTTTTAAAAATTGTTAATTTGTTTAGCCGTAAAATATTTCAGAACAGCTTAAAACTGCCAATTTTCTATTCCCCTCCATACCCATCCTGCCTTTTTCATGGAAATCAAACAGTATATCTATTTTTTTTTTTCAAATTTCAGTTCGATTACATTTTAACGTGTGCTGTTTGTACTAAAAGTGACGGCAAACTTCAGATCTTTCACAGCTCCAACAAACAAGTCTTCGCATCTCCATCAAAAAGGCGCATGGACCGTAAAGGCGTGGAACCTCAAGTTGCCTATCCCAATATATTTTTCTTGATTGACAATTTTGACGAGGTAAGCAGTTAAAAGCTGTTTTCTTGCCTCCATGCATTTCCTTGTTTCCATTTAAAGATTTAATATGTAACTTGATACAGAAACTAATCAAGATTTCTAAAGTTCAGTATGCGTAGTTAGAAGTAGGTGCGAAGTGTTATTCAAATCGAAAAATGTAGAATTATTGATGTCAGGCAGGTGGGAGTACCAGGGGATGGCTCAAAGCAAGAGCATTAGATTACCATATAAGTAGAAATTGTTCTCATAAAAAATGGCTCTAGACAAAGCAGACTTCAGGAAGCATAAACATGAAGACCTTTAAAAGGAATGCAAGTTCGGATAAGAAGTGGTTTTCTTTGCCATTATTACTATTGGAGGCTTCAGACATTTCCTAGCAGGGGTTCAGTAGAGTTAGACAGAGGTCCGAACCAAGGCCTTGGTCAGGTTCTCAGAATAAAATCCCTGGTGGTTTTTATGTGAAGAAATTTTATGTTTAGAATGGTCCAAAGTTATGCTTGTGGACCACAATATTTGGGATTAGCAATCACAGTAACATTGTTTGGATCAGCAAATTAATGTTTCTACTCTGGCCTCATTGTGGCGCTATATGACAGATGATTGTCTATTGAAGTCCCCCAGACCCCTGGTTGCAGCACCACTGATTGTCATCATCTTCATTCTTCATTGTTGTATTTTCCCAAAACTGTCCGGATTTGTAGAATATTAGTAATGATAATGAGTGATATTGGATTGCTATCACGGAGCAATGATAATGTTTGTGATGCTACTGTTAAGCACATTCATTTAGCAAAGTCTTAACTATACTTTAACCAGAAATTGAATAGTCTCCCAAGAGATCCAGTTATAATAATAAGAGGCTCAGTTTTGTTTATATACAATATTTCATTTATAGATTTCCATATTTAATTCATATTGAAAACATAATACATTAATTAATAATTATAATAATTACAAGATTATAACATTTTATAAAATACACAAAAACATTTTTATTATTAGACCTAAAGATAATGATCATAATATTATATTCTGCTCTGGATTCTTCCAATGAAGGTCGGGCTCTTTACCTCCTGACCTTTATAAGAGCTCTCCTCCTGGACCCCTCCAGAGCACCTAATCACCCCTGGAACTCTCACTCCTTTATAGGAAACCTGCCTCTAAAACAATTCTGGTTAAATGCTTTGTGAATGTATAAATCTTAAACCCATATGTCTGGCATATGCATTTGATCCTGTCTGACTGGAATCCACTTACATATCATCTCCTTATATATTGATATATTTTATTGGGTAAATTGAATCTAATTACATTGATATCCCTACCATACATGCTCCGTTTCTTATTAATGTATGTTTTTTTGTTGTTGTTTTTTTTTTGTTTTGGATAAATTGAATCTGCGAAATTGAATCTTGTTCAAACTTTAAGATATGCATTTTGGCTGTGCTTATGTGCAGGTAATTGGTTTGTTTTGATGCGTACAAGGTATGAGATGATATTTGGAGATCAATATCTTGATGAGTAGCATCTTCACGGAGCACCGACCCAGTCAAGATAAAGATAGAATTAGAATCTACTACACAAACATATCAAATTTATCTGCATTTTTTTTTTATTTCGAAAATGAATGGAATAATCAGATCTAATAAAAATATTGCCAATCGTTAATTCAATAAAAGTTATTTTTAATATCAGATTTAACAAACATAATTAGAAGATGAATAATTTTAAACAAAATACAAATCAAGAAGAAAATATAGTTAGTAATTTTATACAAAACCTAAAATTAATTTTCTGTTACAAATATATGTAATTTGCCCAAATATATTGGAGTGGAGTTAAATTAAAAGCTTAAAGTCAGGCCGGAGGAAAAAAATTTTTTGATATGTTGTAGAACTGATTTTTTTGAGACAGAAAAAAGTTGTTTGACGAAAAACTGAGCAACGGTGAATGAGATACAGATTTTTTAATATTTAAAAACTGGGGGAAAAAGGTGTAAAAATTGGCTGTTACGCCCCTTTTCCCCCCAGTTTTTAAATATTCAAAAACCGTTCCCCAGTTTTTCGTCAAACAACTTTTTTCTGTCATAGAAAAGTCAGTTCTACAACATATCAAAAAATTTTTTTCCTCCGGAGCTTGACTTTAAAGATGATTTTCAGGGTTCTGGTTTCAATCCCCAGTCACAGCAGATTTTTTTTCTTTCTCACAACTATTATCAGCTCCACTCCTTAGTCTCTCATAAAAATACTTAGCTTATAAAGCGTCATTCCATCATGCGAATAGCGTGTTACTTGCCATACGATGTGAAGAAAATAAATATCTATATATGGACAAATCTCAGAAATTTCTCACATAAAAAGTTGATAGCGTAGAAAGAGGAGATTTATTGGCAAATATTTGAAATTGAGAATGTCTAGGCTGGATTCCCTGGAATCAATTCAACTGTTCATAAAGCCTTCACTGAGTAATGCTACATAATTTGGATTCAAATAGCTACAAAATACACACTAAAATTAAGACTGAAAATCCAGATCCTACACTGGATTTGGGTTAATGGACAGCATGGGGGTTCAGTAGCCATTGTCCTCAATTTCTACAAATGCATTGATGGTCACTGACTCACACAGGTTGTCTGAGTTCGTGTTTTAGGGTTATTCATTCATCCATCAAAGATTAAGTCAGATTTTGAATATCAATAATAAGGTTTTTGCATACCTAACTTAATACTTCTAAAGCACTTTTATAGGCTAGGCTACTACAGTATTAATGCCTTACAGTTTCTAAAGCCCTGGTTAGGTAACTATGGGTTGTGACCTGTACTTGGGTGAAAAGATGTTTTTTAGTGGGCTGTGGCATCATTTGAAGACATTTTTGTCGTAGATCAATTTTAGTGCGTCACATTATCAACAGGACTTTCACAATACAAAAGCAAGGTCTGAAAGAAATATTTGTTGACTTTTTTCTGCAAATAATACACATGACTTCTTCTATTTCTATGTGAGCTTCTCGTTTGTACACTGACACTATCAATACTGTCTGTGTACAAAGGCTATTGAAGAAGTCATACCTGGCAAAAATATTTGCTTAAAGGTTGTAATAAAATTTAAATTTTTTAATTATTCATTGATTTTATTATCAAAATTATAATTACAGAAAATAAAACACAACATTTGTTGGATCACCACATAAAATATTAATTGACTTCTGACAACTTTATTTTTCCTTTTAAATTGACTTTTTATCATATTAATTTTCAGTTGAAGGTCAATATCTGTCAAATTATACAAATTAAGCAATTCATACTATTCTACATATTGAATTTTACATTAGGTTTAGTGGTGATATATCTTTAATAACAAGTTGCAGAAGTAGAATGAAACATTGTTTTCATTATACCAATTTTATTGACTCAATTAATGTTAATAAAATGAAAATTGTCTCAAAATATCTGTTGGTCACTGTTTGGAATATTGACTTCGAATTTACAAATTGATTTACGATATATTTTTATTTACCTAATTTATATGTTCGTTCAATTTTATTAATAAATAACGATGTAAATTAATATTTTTTTAACATTTGCCTTCAGCACCTAACGATTAGTTTTGATATTGTATAGGTGTTCAGTGGAATGAAGGTACAAGCCAGTCAGATGGTGTGCGTAGAGCTGGTCGCAAATGAACGGCAGGGCTCATTTCGTAGTGTTGTCTTCCTCGGGTGTGTGCGTTATGAAGCGCTTAAGCGTGTCTATGACAACCGGGTAAGCATAAATTATGGATATAATATAGATAAAAAGTAAATATTTTTATGAGCAGTTGTAGAATGATCATTACAATTATCATTACCATTATCATTTATTGTTACCGAGAATGTATTTTAAACATCATACTTTTTTTCAGTCATGTTAATATACACTGTTATCTTTTTCTTTGTCAACTTAATCGTCATCATTATCCTCATCTTTATCATCACCATTATCATCATTCTCATCATCCTCATCTTCTTCATCTTCATCATTTTAATCATTCTCACCATTATCATCATCCTCATTATCATCATCATTATCTCAATCTTTGTCTTTACATTTAGCACCTTCTTTATCATCTTCATGTTTGTCAACATCATTATCGCAATCATGATCATGATCCTTACGACCATCATGATCATCACCACCATCACCACCACTGTCTCGTTGCTGCCGTCATCGTCATTGTCATCATTCATCACCATCATCATTGTCGTTGTCGTCGTCGTTGTCATCATCATCATCATCATCATCTTCCTAGTTCATCATCACTACCACTGTCGTTTTTTACATTAACTACTATCATAATATTTTGATTTCTTTATTGGCATCATAAATACATGTACAAAGATTAAAAAGCTTGACATCAGGATAAAAAGCAGCATAAAATATGGATGAACAAATACAAATACCTAAAAATCACTTTAAAAATTGATATACCACTTTAAGAGAGAACGGTCAGACATATATTAAAATTCATCGATAGGCATAAATTGCATATGACATTTAACAGAAAAAGAACACGGATACCCATGAAAGTTGTTAATATTAAAACAACTAATTTCCAATGGGATACAAAAATCTTTTCATTAGCATCCTTATCTTTGCCATCTTTATCCCTTTACAACAGTGAAGATAAATTTACCACTCATTGATTATTTATTTAGTTATTATTATTTTATTATTATTTTAAGTATTAGGAAAAAAAGGAAACAAATTTATCGTCTTCAAAACATAATGCATGTTCCTCTTTAATACATTGTTGCATGTTCCTGTCTTCAGGTTATGTATACTAAGAACATATTTATGTTAGCCTATGTAATTAATGATGCAATGCATGTATGTGTACATCTCTTGTGTCTGATGAACATTGACAATCTCATAACTCATTGGCAGAAGACACGTAGATGACAAAGTAACAAGTTATTGTGTTTAATAGTAACCTACCTCTTCAAACTCACTCATATAGTCTTGCTAAATTAGAAATTTCAGTTGATCATTATCATTATTATCTTGTCGTTATTGTCTTCATTTTAAATTATTGTTGTTTTCATTATCATCTTCAGGTTAAAAAAAGAAGTTTGTGAACGCCATATCCAACTAATCTATAATCTTGATAACCTTGTGTTGTCTATTTCTTTTTTTTCTTCTTTTTTTTTGGGTGAAAACATTTTTTTTTATAGGAAAGCACATGAATGGTATTTGACAAGGCCACTTTTCAAGCTTTAATTAATTTGACATCCTAACTATAAATTTTAGCCTATTGATTACCATTTACTTGTCAAATTACTAGGGTGCCAAGGCCTAAAATTGATAACCATATAAGTCACTGTGCTTTAGCAACAACAATTATTATATCTCACCTTCATTCTCACCACTACTACCACCATAATCATTATAAATAATATCATCAATCATTTTTATAACTTGTACTGGAATAAAATAAAATGTGTCATGCCTGTCTGTATCCTCTGGACTCTAGAATAGGTGTTCTGGGGTGACATTTCCATCACATTTACTAAAAGGAAGCAGTGGGGAAAGGGGGAGACAGTACTATTGCCAATATCAAAGAAAATCTAGTAAAAAAAACAACAAAAAAAACACTAAATGTATTTTTTTCTGAAAAGCTGTAGCTTAATTCCAGGCAGGTGATGTGAATCGATATCTGCAAGCAACAAAAGGTGCTTGATATAAGTGATGGATTTCCTTTGATTCTTCTCTCATTTTTTATATTCTACGTTCAAATTAAAGGTACTATCTGTAAAATCTGGAAAAACCCATAAATTTTAAAACATTGAAGTAATAATTTAAAAGGATTAAGCAAGTTATCAACTTTCATTGAGATACCCATAAAGACAATACAGTGTTTATTGAAATCCAGAAAAAGAAAATCTTAAGTCAAATAATTTCAATTAAAGAACTTTCATTAGTTCATCTGGTAATGGCTGAGGAATCTTTGTTTTCCACAATTTTCAAATATTATGCATTAATATACAAAGTAAGCAATTAAAATATTTAATTTTAACTTTTAGAAATACAGTGATTGTGTCTTTAATGTGAATTTTAATGAAAAAAATAATAATGAAAGCTAGCAAATGTGGTATTAATCAATCAAACTTGTACGTATAAAGCACTTGCAAGGAAAAGGTTACACTTAAATCAACAGTCAACTGTATATATCAACATATAAATAAATGCTAGATCGTGTTCTCTGTCTGTATAAAATATGTGCAATTGAATGTGTATACGTATGTGTAAATTTGTATTTTTCTTAGTCATACTGTAGTTTGCACCGCAACACTTAAACTTAATTATACTTTAAATTAACTGTACAGTAATCAATGTATAAATAAATGACAGTGCTTGAATATAGGATATTTACATAAACATATATAAAAAAAATATATCTTGATTTATATATAAAAATATATATACATATATATATATAATATGTGTATATGTATATATATTTAAGTAAATTTGTATTTTTCTTAGTCAACAAATATTTCAAGTTAATTTAAATAAAGATAACAGTTTTATTTTGAACATTTCTGTATTTTTAATTTCTTATAATCAAAAGTGAAGTTATTTATTTCAAACTTGGCCATATATTATGATCTTTTAGGCAACGATGACCTCAAAGATGGCTGAGAAGGTTCCAATGAGATTCTTTCAAGGTGCACATGGTAGAATTGAATTCATTCGAATGAAAGGTCCAGAGGGTAAAGGTCATGCAGAAATGGCTGTCAGTCGATTTAGAAGGTTATCAAAAGATGGGAGTTACGATGATCACAGTATAAGTAGTGACGGCAGTGGTAGCAATAGTGTCACCAGTTCTCCGGAGGTAAATGTCCTTTAAATTAAAAACATTACTAAATTTAATAAAACGATTAATAAATTTAATGAAAAAATTAATAAACTTAATAAAAAAAATAATACTCATAATTTTCCCTTTTAATTGTTCCCTTATTTTCTTTCACTAATTAAAAGCACTTTCATAAAAGGCAATTATATATTCATGATGGTGTTTATCATCACATCATAGTCATCATCGTCGCCATGGCTATTATTTTTATTTTTAAAATTAAATTCTTTCATAATTATTATCTTCTGAATTATTAAAATTTAGCTATCAGTTGAGTACTGTAAAATCTTTTTTTTTAAATTATTTTTTTGCTTTCATGTAGAATGATGAATAAATAAGATGCATAGACAATAGATACAAATACACTGAATTTTCTTTAGAAGCATAATGAAATACAAAAGGCTTACTGTACATATTGTCTATGAGTACACACACAGCTAGCAGTTGGTGCGTTAAGCTGCTTTTTAATTCGGACCTTGTTCAGATTAATATTAATGACAGTACTTGAATGCCTGGTGATATTCTATGATGTAGTGATGTAATGTTCTCAAGCTTAATCGAAAATCGACAACGTAATTTTGAATTTCACAAATATGTATTTTTTTAATTTAACAATCTATGAATAATTTAATTTTTTTGAAAAAAAAATGTAGAGGACTCGTTACTCAAGCTCTTGCACTTCGTCTCCCGTCCCTCAACCAAAGAACGGAATGAAAAAGTCGAGCTCAGATAGCGGGATGTTATTTCAGTTGACGAGGGAATCCGATGATTTGCCAGACAATCAAAACAATTCAAGTATGTACCAACTTATTTTTTTACACTCTTACACTGGCAAAATTCAAATTCAGATTAAATGCATTCTGTTAAAAATCATAACCATTGTTATTATTATTATTGTTATTGTTTTTATTATCATTATTGTTAGTGGTATTTATTACATGATTATGAGAATGTTTCAATATACCAAGATTTATATGTGATTTATCTATTCATTGCGTACTACTCAATACTTTGAGATGTGCGTCTCGAAGGGAAAATAGAGTACAGTATACTACCTCGGCCTCACGACTCAGTTGGTTGAACACCCAAATGCTTATATGAGGGTCTGTTGTTCAAATACCAGTTTAAACAATACATTAAAAAATATTTGTAATCTTTTGTCTTTATGTATCTCTGATCATTTTTTACTTTATTTTATTTTACTTCAAATCACAACTAACAGTGGGTTACCCACCACTAACGGAATGGATTATTACAATAAAATATATATCTTAAAAATAGTAAGACATAACAGGCAAAAGAAAATAAATCATTAATAAAATACTTTTAAAAAAGTGAAGCAATAATATCAATAAAAAATGCAAAAGCCCTGAGCAAAAAATATTGTGGCGAACTTTACAAATTTTATGGTTAAAAACAGAGAAAGAGATCAATAGGTGTCTTTAAATGATTTGCATTTTGTATTTCTTAATATATTCAATAGAAAATTCTTTTAAGAATTATATTTACAATATTTTTCACCTAAACATCAAGGCAAACACGAATTTGCTAACAGATGTGAAAAAGCAATCATTCTCTAATTCTATTGGCTTTTTTCAATCTAATCAAACAATAACCTTGATAATGAATTCAAATTTAGAATATTGATTTGGAAAACAAATTGGTTATAAAAATTGTTCATTATAATGTACTTTATATTCATTGTTTGCCAATTTGCATCATTTTTACATGAATGAATATATTCATAAAAGTAATTTGTGTTTTATGAACAATTGCCATTAGAAAATAACAATTAGATTTTTTTCTATGGAAATTGTTATTTCCAAATTGAAAGTATATTAGCTATATTCTACTTAACACGGTTTTATTTTTCATTTAGATTTTCCTGTGAAATTGACACGGCAAGGATCAGATGCGCTGCAATGGTTAAAACGAAGAACGCACAAAGAACCGATATTGAATGCTCATCTTACATACGTCACGCTTCCCTGGCATCGCATTATTGCAGGTAAACATTACATAATGCAAGATATATAATTAGCTTTTATTAAAATCACTTTTATTCAATAAACATAAAAAATAAATTTCAGCAAAAAGAAAAAAAACATTTAGAAAACTTCTTAGGATAACGTTCTTAAAGTAAATAACAAGGGAGGGGACAGAACCCAAACAGATTACAAAGGAAAGAAGACAAGAGAAGAAATGAAAGAAGAGACAAAACATTAGACAAGGGGAGAAGACAGCATTATTGCCTAGTACTGTAAAAAATTATTATTGAGAATATAAAAATTATAAATTACTCTTGAAAATTATTGGATAATGAATTGTAAAATATAGATTTCACAAATAAAATATTGCACTTTAAAAAATGAAAATTCTTAAAAATTGGTGCTCAGCATACACGGGTTCATTTTTGGCATGGGAAAAGTAATTTTTTTACATTAATTTACATTATAGATATTTTATTGTATACTTTATGTATTATTAACACAGATCATGTAAAATTGTTCTTTTTAGATGTTTTAGAAGTTAGACTTGAACCAGTCCTCAGCTGAATATGCTATGAACATCATCAAGTTGAAATCCAAAGTAATCACAAAAACAAATGATCACAACATATGATCACAGGAGGGGAGATGGACGGTTGTTGCTTAAATCCCTGTGGTGGTACATATGGATATGAGCAATCAACAGTGATCAGCAGCCTTGCCTATGATCGCAATCAGGAGACATGCAGATAGAAATGTAATGACAATAAATAAAAAGATGCTAATAAATGATATGAGAATATAATACACATTGCAAACCAAACTAGAAATAGTTAGATTGATAGAAAAAGAAAAGTAAATTTGGGTGGTGTATGTATGAATTTTATCAGTGTACGATACTAAACATACATGCTGTAATATTTTACACTGCTGCGTTGAATATATGTATTTGTGTATGTGTCGATGATGTTATACACGATAGTCTGTATACTCTTCATTGCATCTACAGTGTATCACCAGAATAATTGTGCATATCTATGCATAGAATGTTATACGAGTAATGAGTTGAAAGATCGACTGTTCCATTTAACGAGGGGAGCACAAATACAAAACATTCATTATTTGTTTTATAACACACCTAAATAGATCCTTGTCATTTGATCATCTTCCAAGCAATTGTCCCGACTTTAAAAGTTATGCCTGTCACCTGCTCAGGGAATAGACTATAGGCCCTTCCTAGCTGCGGTCCAACATTTCACCCCACCCTTGGTCCCGCAAGCCCATCTGCTCAGATCGGTTCTGCCAAGCCTTGGCTGAGCCTATCCTCCATGCAAAACCTAGGCCTATGCTATAGGGTCTAGAAATTCGTCGGCGCATTTTGGAAAGTAAGGGCCCAATTCCACACAGATTTTGTGCAAATTTGAGCTAGTTTTTAAGGTATCATCCACGCTATTAAAATACTTTACAGTAAACCATAACAACTCACTGGGTAAACAAAGTCTCCGATACATTGCACACTGCTAAGACAAGTTCAGCAAGAAGTAGGCTTTGGTTACGTCACTTCTTGGATTTACCCTTCTGGAAAAAGTCAGTCCTGCATCTTTTTAACAAATCAAAACATTTATTTATTTATTAATTTATTTATTCTGTCTTTCTACTGCATGCACTTTCAGTACTTGTGTACTGTTTTTCAAAGTGGTACAGTTTCATAAAATACAAAAGTTAAAAGAAAAGTAATTAAAAAACATACATATATATAAATAGATATAATAAAAGTGATTAAGAATTAAAAGAGTCATTTTGTATCCATAGGCAATGTGCAATGAACAATACGGGTGTATAAAAAAAAATGCACGGCGGAACAATATTTTTATGATTAGTGATGAAAGGGGGAAATAACTAATGTTACGTGGTACAACATATATGACTGGGATCTATTTAGGTGCGTTATAAATGAATATAGCCGTACTTGGTATATATGCCTCAGTAAGATCAGATGTGCCTCATACCGTGCATTCATGCATTGAATTTAAATTTATTTGGTTTATATCTCTATGATAAGGTGGTACCGTATCAGCTTGAATAAGCACCTGGTTTCTTACAAAATTTAAGGGCTCATTTGAACAGGGTTCTCACTCAGACGAGATGCATAAGGAAACTATTGAAAATTAAGAGACTGTTATTTGTAGTTATATAGACAATTTGCTTCATAATATTTCTTTGAACATATTTGGAAATGTTTTATTGAAAATTCATATCCTGCAATACTCTGTCCACACTGTCATATTTCATGTGACAACTTTGTGTGCTGTGTTCATATATGGGCATGATGATGTCATATTTCATCCAAATATGGGCATATATCACATTTATCACATAAAATTTAGTAGTGTAGACTGAAATTATGATTATTTTTTTCATCAGATTACTCAAGTAATGTACTCTTTATTTGTTTTGCATTCCATATCACTGCACAAAGTTAACAAAAAAATATATATTTACAACTTTTATTGATTAATATTTTTCAAATGTACTGCTCAATTAATGAAGATATAATTAGTTTTTTATTTTGATTTAGCTTCTCAGTCCAAAAAAGTGAAATGATAATGCATAATTTCTCTATCAAATTATATGTAATTTATAATGGTGACTATTCAAACTGGATGCTTTTTTGGATATTATTTCATAATGTGAACCCTTGGATTAAATAATATACAGTAAATAATATACAGTATGTATGTTAATGGATGAAGTAGATGAATATATAGATGCACTAAGGTTCATTGAATGATAATGAAAGTCCATGATAATTTATATGATTGTTGGACTGAATGATACACAAATTCAGAAAAAAACAAGAATAAAATAGAGGAATTAATTCCCCAAGTACTAATAGTTAAATTCTATAAGAAATGATATTTTTTTAATCTTGGACCTGTATAAAGTCAATGTCTTTTTGTAGTTTTTCGCATCACTGTTGCCAGCTTATACATAATGAAGATATATAAATCATTAATTAAAATTATATTTTATACAGTTGTAAAAAAACATTGTGAAAAATAATGCTTATAGTGCTATACTGTAAATGTTTGACCCTGAAATAGAATCTGAAATTGATTATACATACACATCATCTTGTCCTCAGATATTTATGCCATAACTCCTGGGGTAATGGGAGAGGGAATGGTTTTCTGACTTTAAACTTTAAACATGTAACGTTCATTAACATGACTGCTAATGAAAAACCACACTTTTAACAATAACATTTGTGAACAGGTTTTAATGTTATAGTTGCATACTGTTAAGTGGCAGATCTTTTCCTGGGGTGGCAAAAGGTGCGTTAGACCTTTAGCAGCATTTAGCAACAGCATAAAATCTAAGTATGGTCAAGTCTTTGGTCATGGGATTTATAAGTGTGCATACAATACATTTTAAACTGAGGGTGTTATCAAAATATTTTAAAAAATATTAGTCTAGATTCTAATTGCTCATATTTGCTTATTAATGATACAATTATATTTTATAAATTTTAATGCCGTATCAATCAAAATAATAAAGTTAAAATTATGAAAGTTATAAAACTTAATTCTATTCATATGGGTAATATATGTTTTTTTGGAGAACAATTTTAAAAAGATAATTGTTAGTGTAAACTCATATTTGCTTATTAATGATACAATTATATTTTATATATTTTAATGCCGTATCAATCAAAATAATAAAGTTATAAAACTTTAATTCTATTCATATGGGTAAAATATGTTTTCTGGGGAGAAAATTTTTAAAAAGAGAATTTTAAGTCTAAAAATGTGCTTGATTTGTTTTATGTACTGTAATTAGAATTGTTTTTATTTTAGTGTGGGAGGAATTTTCCACAAATTAAGTTTGCAATACATTGCCTAGTGTAAAAGATGGCTCTCAGGACACATTTATTTGAACAGTGAACTGTTTATATTAATTCTTAAATTTCTAGAAATGTTGTAAAACAATTTATGATGATACAGGTGTTTTAATGGATAACATGCCTACACAAATGAAATATAATTCATTGTCTTCCATTCCTATTAACAGCAAAAATGTTTTAATTATTACTGTTATGCTTTTGAAATTACCCTTTTAAAGATATACTGCCTGTTGTTATTCATCATAGAATTGATCCATCAAACAGGATTAAATAAGTTATTAAAAAGGATTAAATGGGATATTAAAAGGGATTAAGTTAGTTATTAACCTATATTGAGACCTATCAAAACAACTCGGTTTTTATCAAATAAACTTTCTACTACAAAAATCCTGTAATTGATAACCAGTTTTAAATGATCAATTCCGATACATTTTGCTTTTCAATTTGAGACCACATTTGGGACATGAAAATTTAGGGTGGTCTCAGGGTTTAGTTTCCAATTAGTGTTAACTTTGTGTTAAAAAACTGAAGATTGTAATTTGGTTTATTTAAAAAGTGTTAGAGGGGTGTGTATTTATGGGGGTTTTTCAACTATATCATAACACAGACAGTATATCTTTGCTGTATTATTATTTCAAGTACAGTAATGTTAATGGTTTTCTTTGTGCAATAACAGATAATGTACAAGTTTTTGTTGAGGAAAAATATTTTTTTTAAGAATGCATTTCAAATATATGCATTGATTAAATTTGGAAAAATAAAAATTATTTCTATCAAAGATATTGGTGTTTCTATAATTTGTTCAAACAGTTTATTTTGATTCTGCCAAGTTTGAGGAGATTAAATGTTGTGAATTATGAGTGTAAGAGTTATCAAATTTCAGTGGTGTCCTGTTATAGAGTACAACAGTCTGTCTGTTGTCACAACACCAGGTGCCACCCTTTGTTGTCAACCAAACGTTGGTTACCGTTTGATTTGATTTGAATTTATTTGGTTCCACTTTAAAATACATAAAAATACAATATATAAAAATAATTAAAAAGCAACCTCAAAGCAACAATTCAAACAGCACCATGTAAAAGTTTAAGAGATTAAAAAAATCATTACGCCTGAATTGACTTCATAATCTTAATGGTTTAGAATAGACTTTCTGGAATAGGCATTTTAAAACCTAATAATTTACCATCAAAATGTACTAAAAACACAAAAGCTCGCATTGTATTAGTCATCGAACGCACATTTATTCATCAATTACAGTTTACAAAGAAAAACTAAGATACAACATCTTAATAATTACGTTAGATATTGGGATCAATGGTTTGTCAGTGGAGAAAATGGCATCCGGTTTGTGTCGCCGATAGCAACGGAGTAGTATCACGTGGTATCGTGACGTAACATTTTAGTACTCCATATGTGATTAGACAGAATAACAAACATTTCATTAAAAGTAAAATTCCAGTCACTAAGCAAAGTTTTCACAAATATTGATTGGACTTTGTAAACCAGATGCTGATGGAGGAGCCAAGAGCACCAGGTCATCATTGGCATAGCTGAAACAGTTAAATTTAATATCATTTAATTCATAACCTTAAAATGAGTTAATATATAAATTAACAAATATAATAATCAAGATATGATTCCATTTAGCATAAACTATGTCTTACAAATTCCTGATTCCAACAGCCAATGCCGTGTCCAGGATTTTCAAACTGGTGGGACAGTAAACGAGTGGACCCAATACAAGAATGAACCCGATACAAGAGTGAACTCATTTCGGACTAATTTTAACATGTGTTTCTTTTGTGTTGTATACCCGGTTTTTAAACTATTGTATATTGATGAGGAGGATAAAGGGGAGGCCAAGCAAAATTATGCTTGTTCTTAAATTTAATAAAAAAATTGCCATAATTAAGTAAAACCTTTCAGCCTGATTGACCAAGCTCTAGGAGGATGGATGACTACCCTAAACAAATAAGTAAATATTTCTTAAAATAAGAATTATTCAAAAATGTGTGTATTTGCACTACAAGCGAACATTTTGTTGCAAAAGCCTATAATCACCATTCCATGTTTTTGGCAAAGGCCGATACATCCTTTCAACCAATCAACGTACAGTTCTGAATTACATCCTCTCAGCCAATCAGCATACAGCTCTGAATTGAGGCGACCAAAGAGTATATAACCAAAGAGTATATCTTTGATACAACAGACTGACACTGCTCTCGTATACAGCATAGCTAGTACATTGCGGTCTAGTCTTCTCGCTCGATAAAGACTTTAATAAAATAAAATAATTTCTTTTTAAATAATGGATGATTTCAATGATATTGAAGAGCCTGTGCTAAATTCTCACCATTGGGATGTAAATACAAAGGTGCCCAAAGTTTTGTTTTAGTTGCAATTGAAATTCATAATGTAATAAGTAATAACAGTGTCAGTGACATTCTGATTGGTGACAATACAATCAACCTTTGTAATTTATGACTATAATTTTTACCTATTTAATTAATATTTGGTGACAATACTGTTGACCTATCTAATTTTTATTTGGTGAGGATACTGCTGACATATCCAATTGGTTTTGGTGACAATATATGCTTAATTGTTCGGTATTTTAACCTATTTACTGTTTCATTTTGACTGGTCAGGAACATCATAGTGCCAGAAATATACTGGACAAGTAAGTTGTGGTGAAAACTGTTAATGACCTTTGACTCATACCATATAATTTGATATCAAGTATGATGATATTTGTTTGAATTATTCTGTATTTGGCGTGGTCTTCCTCTGTGTTGGAAGCCACTGATTAAGAACACAATGTAGCAATGAACTTCTAGTTTAGGTATTGTAAGCTCAAGCTGGCGAAGGGGCTGAGAGGGGTGTATCCATTATTCACTTTAAGATACAAATTACGCCTGTATTGCAATTTTATTTTACAGTTTTATTTCTTTTATAAAATGTTGAATCAATGACACTAATTAGCTACTAATTCAAAATTCAAATTCAAAAATATCTTTATTGGCAATCACAGTATACAATGATTAAATATACAATAAAAAGTCATAAAAATACATTTAAAGAAAATTTACAGGATTAAATTAACAATTTGATATTTATTTACATGAAAAAGGATTTTATTATTTATAAAAATATATAAAAATATACAGATTTACACACGCAATTAAATCACATTCAAAACACAAACAAAACACATTAAACATCACAAAAAAACAAATATACAAAACAAACACACAAATCATTATCACATAAATCATTAACCCTTCTCTTCTCTTCTCTCTCTCTCCCTCTCTCTCTCTCTCTCTTGCTACTATATAGGTCTACCCCCTACTTGTTTTAATTTCTCCAAAAATCATGCTGTTATGAAATACATCCATTAACTAATTTGTACACGTCTACTTTTTGCACCCTTTCCCTGAAATATTCCTTTTACAATTTATTTAGTGATGACAAAAAAAAAAAAAAAAAAATCAGTTATGTATAACAATGCGAGCTTTCTATAAAGAAATTGCTGACTTTGTTCTTATATGGTGTTTAAGAATGAGTACTCTCACATTTTCACCCAGGGTTCTTCTAGCGTTTAATTAGTATGTAATTATTTAGTATTATGTATGTCAATTCTTGTATGGGTTGGTCGTTGCCATGGTAGTTAGACAACCCTATAGGAAACAGTAAACAACAGTGCCCTGATTAGCAGCAGAGTGATCTTGTTCATCATCTGTATGGCTGCTTCTTTGAGATGGTGCAAAATAAGGCTTATCTGAGAGTAGAGAAGTAAATTTTTTAATGAATAAACTGATATGTCTATGTCTATAGAGAAATATAAAGTTGTACTTTCTGTGTCTAAATTTAGATTTTTTGGGTGATTAGTTGTGTCAGATATTATAAAAGAACATGTGACTCTGCACATGTATACATTTTAATACCTTTACTAAAAGATGTACTAATCGGTAATTCAATGAGTTATTATTAA